GTGTCAAGCCGCACGCTAACGGAAAATCATCGAGCGGCGCAAAGGCCCGGGAGTAGGGATGGGAGCAGATCTCTGGAAATCGCACCATGGCCTCGAGCGATGCGGCAAGGGGTGCAGTCTGGGTAGGTTTGAAACCCGGCGGGGAAACAGAAATTGTCCAGTTGAAGGTGCGCCAAAGGGCAACCAAGTTGTTGTCCCGGGAAGTGTCACGGGTCGAATTCCCTGAGTAGAGAATGCATTTCTTCTCCCGATGCTTCCTACCGCCTGACTTGATGAGAGGCAGTCGGTAAGATGCCAGCTGATAACAAAGGCTTTGCCTTGGTCGGAGAAACCCAGCACAAGTCCCCTGACGAATAATTTTATATGCGGGGGGACAAACCATTCACAAGCCAACTCAAGCACCAAGCACTGCAAAGGCAAACCTACCAGGGACCAATCCTTCGAAAGCGGGAAAATCCAGTGACACCTCCAAATCATTCAAAGTAGCCTTGCGCCCCCCCCTCCATCCCTGCCACTCCTGCCACCCCTTCCCCATCCATCTCGATCCAGAGTTCCGGCCTGCAGAACGTCGCCATCCTCCACCCGCGCCTCCTGCAGCGTCAGGCTCCCCCGCAGCTCCCGGCCCTCCACCGTGACCAGCGCCGCAATGCCCACCTCGCATATCTCGGCGGCGAAATCTGCGAAGCCCTGCTACAAGTGAATGACTTGTAGTGGTTTAATTCGGAAAACATCCAAAAGTTGGCAAAAAAATGAGTTGAAGTCCTAACATCCAAGCAAAATGCACCAAAGATGTGGATGGCCACTGCTGCCTTGCACTCGTATCTTCAGTCGCAACAACCTTGCACTCGTATCTTCAGTCGCAACAACCTTGCACTCGTATCTTCAGTCGCAACAAGCGCACAATGAGATGGTTTGACCTATCTCAATGCCGCTCGACACCGGGCATGGCTTTCTCGCCACTTTGAGCCCGGGACCGACCTCCATTCTCATGGGGGCTGGGGGGGAGGGAGGGGGGGGGGAGCCCAAATATGCCCCAAATAAGGGATTATTAAGGGCTTAATAAGGGCTTATTTGGGCTCCCTCCCCTCCCCTCCCTCCCCCCCAGCCCCCTGACATTCGGGGACGTTCCCCAGCAGTCTGACTTGAACCTCTCCGAGTCAGTCTTGAAGTTTCTCCCAAAGTCGCCCTCCCGGATTTTGCAGGTGAACTGTCAGCTCCTCTTCGAAGTGACCTTTTTCTTGCACAATGTGAAGCCATTTCTTATGTCTGCACTATGTTCTAAAAAACCCTGCAACACATTTGGTTGCCGCTTGCTTCCTCTAACCAAATCCCCGCCTCCAGCCGCTGCTGCGCCTGGCAAATCACCTCCGCGGCCGTCAACGACGACTTGGACGCCACGTGGCAGGAGCGCCCGCTGAGCAGCGACACCTCCACGGACACCATCAATCCACGCCGCCCGGCCCGGCGGTGCTGAGGGTCTTTGGTGCTCTGTGCGCTCTTGGTGGAAGACATGGGGCCAAGGAAGCAAAGTTGGAGGAAAGGTTGGAGTGCCAGACTTGGGGGGATATATAATTTGATTCACTGTGCGATGTCATGGTCTGAGTGAAGCCACAGACTCTTGCTAACGACAGGAGGATCAACCGGTCACACTGACCCCTATGTGAGGATTCAATGGGTTGGGGGGAAGGTGTTTCTTGTTGAAAAAAAAAACAAGTGCCCTTGGCTGCGCAAGCCAAGCTGCAACAGCTCACTCAATAGCTGCTGCACGGCTGCGGCAAGCGATGATGAACTTCACTGGGCCGAGCCAATATCATGAGACCATGGGCAAGGAAGGATGGAAAGATTATACACGTGCGCGCGTGTGTGTGTGTGTAGAGGTGTACATATATGCATATGTACATGTGTGTACATATATGTATATATATATATATGAGTGTGGTTGCCGTCAACAAATCAGTGGGCGTTAGTTGCACGTACACGTTGCAAGGCTATAAGATGTCTGCATGGTTTCACGATAGCACAGCCAGCAAAATCTTGGTGCTGGTCCTACAACTTGAGGTGCCAGTGCATGCGCTTGCTGCTCTTCTAAGCAGCCCTACGACATGGTTTGTTCACAGTGGAAGCCGAAGTCTGCAAAAAGTTGTGCTAAGTTCAAGCCATGCCTTTCACTAAACTCATCATTGTATCGTGTATGTGTACATAAGTATATATATATGTATATATATATATATATATGCATGAACATAATATACATTAATATATTGCACATATGCAATTCACAGTTGACATATCACAGTGAAAAGAAATGTCTTAGCTGTTCTGTTGAGCCAAAATTGGCCCCAAGCAATGGTCAAGACCACACAATTGCGCAAATGAAGCCATGCCATCCTAACCTGCCAAACGCCAGCATGGGTAATTCTATGAAATGATGCATGTGCTACATGTTTGCCAGACTCCACCTAACACAGACATGTGAAGATGAGGTCTATCAAGAAGAATTCGGGTCCCCGGCCAACATCGGCTGTAAATGGGTGTGACCCAAGCTGTGAAAGAAGCCACGAGGAAGGAAATCCAAACCTGAGGGCAGCCTGCTAGGAGAGCTCCAGCTGTGGGCGGCATAATTGAACCCACGGCCATTTTGAGCTTTTGGTGATCGGTTCTCAAGCATAACATATTGAGTGACAAACCAAAAGCCAACAAGCCGATGGTTTCATGTTTTCAGCCTTTGATTTGGGTCTGGCGATGCGAGCCGTCACGCCTCCCTTCTGCTAAGGCTTGGGCAAGTGGGCCCAAACAACCCGGGTGTCCACGCAACCCGAGAGAAAGGCGGTCTGGCTGTCTCAATTGTTTTTCCACTAGCTGAAACAACTAGCTTCAAACAAATGGGTTTGGCTTCTGCGGAGAACCCCGAAACTGGCCTCCCTCTTGTTCTTGACCGGACACCGAAGCCGAGGCCACCGCGGTGCAAGCGAAGCTGCAGGAGTCCCTGAGCTCGCCGCAGCCCTGGGCCTCCTGCCGAAGTCGGGAGGAGGACGTCGATGGTGACGATGCTGGTGGTGGTTCGGTGGCTCGTCCAGTTTGTGGGTGAGGGGCTTGAACCCCGCTCGCGTCACGCGGCGCTGCTCTCCCCGCATCCATCTTCATTTGTTGGAAATCTCTCTACTTACTCTGTTCCTTGATGGGTTGAGACACGCGCTGTCCAATACGGTGTGAAACTCGGGCTTGTTCATTTAATTTGAAATATCCGTGTACACGAAGTCATGGCAATGAGTGTCACCTTTGGAAAAGCACTTGGAATGGCAGAGGTTGCATCTGTTCCAGGTACTTGTATGTCTTGCACTTCGGCGTTGGCCATAGTCCGTCCATTCTTAGCCGCTTTGCTAAGGAGCCTTGCTCCAGCTCTGCCATTTGGTTTCTGTCTGTTCATATCGAGGTTGCTTCTGCTTGTTCGGCTTGATCTGGACCAGAAGAGGCACATGTTAGGCGCAATCACAAGTTCCATTCGCGAGCATCTCGTTGTTGAAGTGCTTGATGCTTGTGTGGAAGAGACCTTGTAATCTTGGAAGTATAGCTTGGTCGCTGAGCATTGCGCCAAACTCTTCATTTGGCACGCTTTCATGCGTCTTGCATCTTACATCTACGTCGCGAAAAAACAAAAAGCGCTCGCCCGTGCGAATGGTTCCTAGTTGCGAGCCCGCGCCGAGCCTGCTCCGAACGTGCCCCGAGCACTCTCCAACCAGGCATGGCGATCAGGCTAACTTGCGAGCATGCCAAAGCACTGAACCCGCGGAGGGTTGCAGCTTCTTGACACGTTTTCCTCCCCTGCCACACGATTGTGTCCCTCACGCTTCTCCTGTCATCTGTCTCAGAGAGCTAGCTTTCAACTAGTTACCGTGCCACAAACGCTCGCTCTGGCGGGAGGAGTTGTGTAGAACACAAGATGTAAGGTTCACTTGACCTTGGCCCTCCATTGCCACAAGTGAACTTGGTGTCTGCCAGGTATACTCGGAGGAGATGATGTCTTTCACGGGTTCGATGGCCTGTGTGCAACGCTGGATTTCACAGCTTCCATTGAGCTGGCGCATCTGTTGTCAAGGAGTGCATAAGCCGGATTCTGCTGATGGAAATGTAATTTGGCTGAAAAGCGTCCTGACTTCCCATCAGGCGGCTGCTCTCCTTTCCGCCTTTTCCTTTGTCGTTATTGCTTGAGAATTGTCCATTGCTGTTCTCAAATGGCTGTGGGTATTTGTACTTTCCTTTCTTTCCCCAGCCTTTGCTGCCCTGCTTGCCCCAAAAAGAACCTGGTCGCCGGGGTGAGTGTTGACATCGTCGGGCATATTGGCCTCCCGCCTGCCGTGCTCTTCCTGAAGGGTTTGAAAACGCCTCGCCGGCTTTTGCCTTTTGAATTTGTTCTGCTCCGCCTGACACCTGGCTGAGTGCGAAGAAATCGTGATCTTCGAGGACCCGAAATGTATCTTCGTCCTCATTTCCACGAAGCCCTCATTTCCTTCATTGACAGATTGATTCACGGTTCCTCGGTTTTTCCGCCTTGAGTGCGAGTACTCAAAGCTTCTCCAACTGCTGAAATCGTCCTTTTGTCAGAAAAACCTGCTCCGCTACCACAACTTGTGTCCCACACTGGTGGGGTTAGAACCCTGCTCGTGTCATGGTGCACTTTTGTCCCCGGATCTATTTCTGAACAGGTACTGGAAGAGTCCACTGATGGATGAGAACCTTGGGGATGATCTACCCTAGCTGATTCCTGTCAGCGCGGACAGCGATGGCCTTTCCTTATTTTGTCAGCGATGCTACAACTCTCAAAGCTAAGAAGCGCCCTTGACCGATATGCAAGTTGAGATTGCGTGAAGGTCGAGAAGAAAGAAAGACACACACAAATAGGAACACCATGGAGCATTTATGTATCACAAGTGTGAATCTGTTGAGACTGCTGAGATAGGATCCTATACATTGGAGCTGATGACCCATTGGACGATCAACTTGTAGCTTGCCAACAAATGCCAAACATATGCCAGACAGGACACATTGCGTTGCATGCCATGAGTGGACAAAAGTACCTGCCAATGCTAGTGGACATGTCTTCTTTGAGACGCTGCACGGTTTTTGGAACCACCTCTCGGATTCAATCCAAACCTCTCAGCCGCTGGGGCAGAAGGCGTCCAGACTAAAACCATCCATCGTGAGCTTCAGCCAACTCCTCTCAGAGCGCTTGGTTTTTCTAGTTCTATCCTCGCCGCCAGGTCCATTTTGGACCGCGCTGCTCATTTTCCGGGCCGAGCCTCTGCCACCACTGAATCCCGCCAACGGCTTCCGCCCAGCCGGCGTCACGTGGTTGGCAGCAGAAGTCGGTCGCTCAAACAGGGATCCATTGGTCATCGCAGCTTCGCATCATGGTTGCATCAACATGGCGTTCAATCCGGGCAATCAGGATCCCAGCCAAGAGCCAATCGATGGCATAGACGAGGCAGGAGCCCCACAACGATCCAGGCAAAGCTCAGGCCTCATTTCGTTCATGTGTGTTTTGTTCATCAACCGTCTCCTGCACGCTTGCTGTCCCTCGCCCCAAGCTACTGATGTCAGCCGAAGTGTCAGACCGGCGCCTCAGAGGACTGGCTGCCTCCTTTCAGGGCCTAGCTCGGCGTTGGAGACCCCGAAAAGGAACTGGCCCGGAAGTTGATGTGTAAACCACTCATGGAGTTTCAAACAAGGACCCCACCCCATGGCAAACATCCAGCTCTGTGATTCTTTGCCCGAACACCGTCCAAATGTGTTGCGGTGCGAATTGCAGAAACATAGTGGACGATTCACACGAGAGAACATACCATGCTGCTTTAGGACAGCCCATCCAGTCTGCATGAACCCAAACAGCACATATCACAGGTGTTCCCAAAATCCGGACCTCCACTAGGAACCAAGAAGGTGGCCAATTCTAAGACACAACTGCATACTTGTCCCATGCTCATTCGCCTGCCCCACAGCGGAAAGGGGTGGAAGGTCCCCCATTTTTCTTGCCCTCCCTGCAGTATAAACTTGGAACTTGACAGTGACTCCCAAAAGGTCAACCCCCCCCCCCCCCCCCCCCACCCCACGTTTCAGGAGCGTCTCTTTGTGAGCCTGTGGGCAAATCACCGCAAAAACAATTGGACGGCCCAACGTTGGCGCCTCCAGAAACGTCTCCACCTCCTGCGCCCCGGCCAACTGTTGGCCGCTTTCGAAGACGCAGAGGGGCACCGAGGGGATCCGGCGCGCCGCGGCCGCCGCCTCGCCCGAGTGGAGACTTTGCGCAGAGAGAAATGAACAAAAAGGGGACGTGCCCTTGGTTTAGAGAAAAGTCCCGACCCGATTTTACAATACTGACCATTTGTGGTTTGGTCCGGTTGACTACTCGAATTGCAAAGTCAATCCCAAGCTCAAACATAGCAAAGCCCCCTAACCTCACAGGCGAGTGTAGGGCGATGGCTAAAAGCAAATCCATCGGGTCTGGATACAGCTTGCAAATTTGCAAATGCAGGGAACCATCTAGGAAGAACGCCAACCAAGTCTGGCACAGGGCGGATTGGGCTCGCACCGGGAACAAAAAAAAGCAACATAATAATAATAATAATAATAATAATAATAATAATAATACTAATAGTAATAATACTACTACTACTACTACTACTACTACTACTACTAAGAACAAGAACAAGAACAAGAACAAGAACAAGAACAAGAACAAGAACAAGAACAAGAACAAGAACAAGAACAAGAACAAGAACAAGAACAAGAACAAGAACAAGAACAAGAACAAGAACAAGAACAAGAACAAGAACAAGAACAAGAACAAGAACAAGAACAAGAACAAGAACAAGAACAAGAACAAGAACAAGAACAAGAACAAGAACAAGAACAAGAACAAGAACAACAACAACAACAACAACAACAAGAACAACAACAACAACAACAACAACAACAACAAGAACAACAAGAACAACAAGAACAAGAACAACAAGAACAACAACAACAACAACAACAACAACAACAACAACAACAACAACAACAAGAACAACAACAACAACAACAACAACAACAACAACAACAACAACAACAACAACAACAACAACAACAACAACAACAACAACAACAACAACAACAACAACAACAACAACAACAACAACAACAACAACAACAACAACAACAACAACAACAACAACAACAACAACAACAACAACAACAACAACAACAACAACAACAACAACAACAACAACAACAACAACAACAACAACAACAACAACAACAGCAGCAGCAGCAGCAGCAACAACAACAACAATAATAATAACAACATAATAACAGTTAAAACTCTGGCACAGCACAGAGAGCGCATTGGGCTCGAACCGGAAAATAATAATAATAAGTGGTAATAATAAATAATACTAATGATACTAAAGAGCAAAAAAAAAAACGTCCCGACGGCCGGCCTCCTCCCGCACCCGCTGCTCGTAGCGGCGGTCCATCAAAACCTCCCGCGCCTCGCCGAGGCCGGCCTCCTCCGAAGTTTTTGCGGAATGGAGGAGTCAGGGGGCCCGACAGTGAGTGCAAAAAAATGGCATACTGTGGATGGTTGCGAAATCCTGCACCACCTAAGAAACCCTGGTTTATGATGATTCCCCTGTAAATATTAACAAACAGTGGCTTCTCATGGTTCACAAGTGGTGCAGGATTTGGTCCACCATGTCCACCCACAGTAGCTGCCAAAACACATGGCTATGGCTCAACTCAACGACTTAGGGCAAACCGCAGGTTTTAGTCTTTGGTTCCATTTACCAAGGTGCCATTTGGTGTATGTTTTTGACCCACAGCCATATGTTCGATCCATGCATATCGCTGTCTCATACGGGCACATACAAAGCATGTCACCATCTTCAACGTCGGGACAGGAATCAAGGTCTGTCGCTGTCACAGTCCTCCGCCGCAGCAACCAAGTTCTCCACCTGAAGCCACACCCTCGCACAGGGTTCCCTATGTTTTAAGTCAGGGCGACGAAACTCAATCAAAATGGCAACGAAAAGCCCTGGGCTTCCTGATTCTCCTGATCTGTCCTAAAACAAAAACACCACTGCGACACCATGTGGCACAAGGCAAACCTGTCGCACAGCTTCTGTGACCCGGGTTGCGTAGCTCGCCACGCCTCTGGGCACTTGCCCTCGCAATGGTATTGCCTGAAGAGCACCTCCGCCACTCGGTTCTGCGCCCTCCTCCCCTGAGACTCCAGTGCCTGAGTTGTCAAAATAGGGATGTCGGGCCCAAACAATGAATCCCAGTAAACCAAGGCGAAAATGGGTACCCTCCAAAAACGCAACCCCCACGGTGTTTGAGAAAACTAGAAAATATCGGGAGGGCTAAAACACCGCATCAACCAGTCGAAAAGATTCCCTGCTTTGACACGTACCGTTTGTGCAATATTGAGAACCGTGCTTTCTGCCGATAAACGATTGCCGGCCACAGAAGGTTGAAGTACGGGGGGATCTACGTGACTGACGGCGTACAGGAGAGTTTCAGCAGTGCGCCTTTCCTGACTGACAGTTCCCAAACCAATCACAAGCAGTCGCAAAAGATGTTCGTCGGCCCCACTCTAGTCGCGCCATATTGTCCAGGCACATGAAGCAGCAGGCAGTGTGCCTTCACGGTGTTCGGCACTCGGGCAGCCTCCCCAAATTTCAGGCCCAACTTCTCCCCGTCTTGCCGGAGCCTGGGCGAAAGAGGCAGCTCTTGGGAACAAAGCCTAACACCAGAAACTGTTTTTCCCCAAGTTGCTGTTTGTTTGTTTTTTGAGGGAGAGCGGGGCAGACGATTTCTGTGACAAAAATCTAGCGGATTCAAGGGCGTCCCACTTGGGGAATATGCCACTGTCTGGGGGAGCCAGCTTTTCCCCGAGCCCCCCTCTCCCCAATCCGGCCTCTCAGGGATGGACGCCTCTTTTGGCGCGCCCTCTTCAGGAAGGTCCGGCTGCAGCAGGTATGGGCTCCACTCCACCTCCACCTCCAGCTCCGACAGCTCAATGGCCTAAGATGACACTCAGGGCGCACCAAACACCTGACGATCACAAGTTGGCCTGGGAGCTGTGGCTGTATGCTCCGGTACCTTCAGGACAGAAGTTTGATCGAATTGCTGCTTGGTGGCCCACGCACCTTTACCGCAAAGGTTGCATGTGTGTGTGTGTGTGTGTGCGCATGTATATGCATACGACATTTACATACATTTATGTAGGCCAGCTTCAAAACCTGCTCGAACTACGAACTGTTTGAGCCGCAGCATGATGTGTAGCCCTTTGAAAGGAATCCGGGTAGCTGTGGCTCAAAACTTGATGACTCCAAACTCCCAGCCGAAAGAGTTTGCCCCCTGGCATTCACAACCAAACAAGCGGACAAGCAAACAAGTTGAAACGCAAGCAAACAAACAAACAAACAAACAGACAAACAGACAAACTGACAAACAAACAAACAAACAGACAAACAAACAGAAAAACAAACAGACAAACAAACAGACAAACAAACAAGCAAGCAAGCAAGCAAGCAAGCAAGCAAGCAAGCAAGCAAGCAAGCAAGCAAGCAAGCAAGCAAGCAAGCAAGCAAGCAAGCAAGCAAGCAAGCAAGCAAGCAAGCAAGCAAGCAAGCAAGCAAGCAAGCAAGCAAGCAAGCAAGCAAGCAAGCAAGCAAGCAAGCAAGCAAGCAAGCAAATTGAAACGCAAACAAACAAACAAACAAACAAACAAACAAACAAACAAACAAACAAACAAACAAACAAACAAACAAAACAAACGTCGAGCAACCAAACAAGCAAGCAGGCAAGCAGGCAAGCGGGGCAAGCAAAGCAAAGCAAAGCAAAGCAACGCAAAGCAACGCAAAGCAACGCAAAGCAAGGCAAAGCAAAGCAAAGCAAAGCAAGCAGCCACATACATATATATATATATGTCCATGTCATAAATGACATGGAGCCTCTCAAAAGGGTCTCCCTGGAGCAATGGAACCAGCCGGGACCCGACCCTCCGCTCAGTTCAGCGGGATATGTCCATGGGTTAAAATCAAAAGCCCGTACCCCCAGTGAACATCCCAATCCAACCACTAAAATGGGTTCTAAAAAGAAAAACTAAAATGGGTGGTGACTTCACCTACCAACTAAAATGGGATCCCAGAACGGTTTTGACAACCACAACCACATTGCTTCAATCTCCCGCCTGCTCAAGGCGGCGCTTCCCAATCCACGCCCATGGTCAGCGAGTGTCCGCCACTACCACCACCCGCGCCGCCATGGCTGCGGCTGACCACACCCTTCCGATGCTCCAAAGCCAACAAAAGGTGTGGTATCCAGCCTGCTTCATTTTAGCGTCAGAGTTGGATTTTGGCAATTGTCCAGGTTCAAAACCTGGGTTTTGGAGGGGGGGTAGTATATATATATATATGCATTGTGATGGGTCTTGAGATGTGGTAGGTGAATCCAGCCTTGATCCAACAGCAGCAGAGCTTGACAACCTCACGCAGAGTCTTTTGGGCAAAGGGGGTTCAAGGGCTTGCCACAATTCAAATCCTCGGTTCGTCTGGATTTCACAAGCGGGCCTCGATATGAGCCACAGTCAAGAGTATGCTGTCCCACAACGGACATCGACAAATTAGTGCGTCCGTGGCTTTGTCGCGAATTTAGTGCGTCCTGTTCTGACAAAGAATGCCAGCTTCAAGCCAGGAATGCCAACAGCAGCCATGATGACCTTGCTCTTAGCAAGTGGCTCAGCTATGGGACTCCCCGTTTCCAACAGGACTCCTACTGACGTTCTCTTCGAGACCTCTTTCTGGCCGAACCCTTCCCCACTCCTGCCAGGAGGTGTTCTCACTCTGCACCTGGACCTGTCCAAGGTTGCGAAAAGCCGCTGACCCAACCGATCGATTTGAAGGGCCACAAGCCATTGGAAGTGGGTCGACCGTCCGAAGGTCGACCTCTATGACACACAACTGGCACCGGCCCCATGGCTAGCGGCAAAGGTGGGCAGCTTCTCCACCAAAAACGGAACTACTTTGCGGCACAGGGTCTCTTGCCTTGACATCAGGAGAAGCCCTTCGGAAAATCGGTCACAGCTAGACTGGGTCAATCCCCCTGCAAGAACAAAACCGCCTACATTGTTCTCCAGTTGCTTTACCTCCAGTGTGCTCCTGCCTCCCGGACCAAACATGGAAAACCGAGAGGAAAACCGCGAGGTCGCGAGGCGCCTGGTATTCCGCGAAAACGCAGTCGTGGAACTGGGGCACATCCCACAGCACCTGGCTTCGTGTCTTTGTGATTTTTCCCAGATGAAAGCAGAAGTTCAGTGTGACAGGGCTTGTTTTCTGGGTTGTTTTTGGCTGCCGTGTTGCAAAAGCTGAGTTTGTGCTTGTCTTTTGGCTGTGCTGTTTGTGACAGGGTTCACCCAAGAAAAACGTGCGGCCGATGACCAAGTGTTGACCCCTCGAAAGGCTTGAACATACAAGAAGCATCGCTGAGGTCCTGTCTGATGTGTCCCCACATTTGTAAACCTGCCAAATCCAACATGGATCCCCCAAGTCAACAAAGAAGGCATAACCCTCTTACTTGTACATGTATATATATATATATATACATACACATATATTATATAATTTAGACTCCTACGCATTCCATACATGGTTCCAGACACCGGTCCAGTAACAAAAAGCATCCTATATCCCAGCGGTGCCACGCCACCGTCCACATGCCGCTCCCTTGGCTGGGCAGACTTCTCGCGCCTGGGCGGAGTTGTAGGTCCCTGCCGACAGCTGGACCCCCACCACAGGCTCTGCCCTGCGCAGGCAGCCTGAGGCGTCGGTCCTCCGTTAGCTCCAGATGATGATATATCCCACAGGAAGAGTACAGGCGGACCCTTACTGTGTGCTTTATGTCCAAAGGACACTAATCCTAAACTATCCTCAACCCAACTATTTTGAGAAACACCCACAGACCGACAGCATGTCTTTCAGCAAAAAAAGCGCCAGCTGCCAGAATGACGGGCACCGCGCCGCATGAAGTGACACTAAGTCTATCGATGTTCAAAGCGTGGCAAAGCTCCCGGATAGCTCTCCCTGCAGCTTAGAGAGGGTCTCATCTTGGACATGTTTTACTTCGAAAATGATATGGGACAATTCCCAGAGTACACCACTTTGCACTTGAGTCCATTCTCCGCGGCCTCCCCATTTAATACCTGTCTGCTTGATCAACTAGCAATGTCCGGCGCCCGTCACATGTCCTCCATGCGCCATGTCACCTTGACCCCCGGCCACTATCCACTGTTGGATGGGATGTCATGCAAGCCACAGCCAAAAAGACATCCAAGGCGCTCACAACATTTGAGTCATTCTCAAATCCCGGTAGCAAAACGATCTGCCCAGAACCATGTAAAGGATTAAGAAGGCGGCCGCAACCATTTCTGGTTGGGATTGTCTACCCTTCATTTACCCGGGTTTTGATTGTGACTCTTTTCGGTATGTCTTTGGTTCAGGACATCTAGGCCTGCGGGTGAGCCAGCTCACCCGAGCCCATTGGAGAAGCCTCAGCTGGGCATCCCGCAGTCCGTGCTGCTGCAGATCGGCCCCGCGCAGAACCTGAAGGGAGCTCGGCGTTTCGAACCAGCGGAAGAGTTCAGAGTCGAAAGGAGAGATGGCTGTGGGTCAAAACCGTTCTGGGATCCCATTTTGGGGGTAGGTGAATTCATCACCCATTTGAGTGTGTAGTGGGGATTGAATTGGATGTTCACTGGGGGTACGATTTGGAGTTTGACCCATGGCCAGATGGATTGGCAAGCGGGAAGGGAGGATTGCCAAGTTCGGACCTCCGAAATTGAAGCATCCAACACAAGCTTGACAATTGGAGCAAGAAGACTGATGAACGCTCAAAAGACGCGAGACGTTCTACTGGCACCCGTGCCGTAAAGTAAGCTGGTTGGTTGGGTTGGGTTTGGCTGGGTTGGGTTGGTTGGGTTGGGTTGGCGCAATTTGCCCCTTCAGCCGCGCAGCTCGGGTGGCGCAGCACGCGCCACGAAGCCCTCTGCGCAACCCGGGCCCACGTCCGTGGCGTTGTCCTGCCGCCAAAAACAAAACGTCTACCCGGGGGGGGGATTGGGGGGGGGATTGGGGGGGGGGGATTGGGGGGGGATTGGGGGGGGAGAATTGGGGGAGGGGGGGGGGGGGATTGGGGGGGGGGGGGTTGGGGGGAGATTGGGGGCAAGGAGAAGAATGGGTAGATTGCGGGTTGATTGGGGGTAGATGGCGGGAAGATGGGGGGGTAGGACGCACCAAATTACGAAGGCTTCCCGAAGACGGGGGGGAAATGGGCGGACCAAAACTACGAAGGCTTCCCCAAGAGCACACGAATTGGGGCAATTTAGGCTTGTAGATTTAGTTCATTTGCCTCCCACCGGCTAGGGCGTGGTCCGCTTTGATTCAGATTGGCTCGGTCTTGGTTTGATTTGCTAGCGTTCAGTTCTGGTTCGATTTGATTCTGTGCAGTTCCGGTTGGCGTGTAGGTGGTCTCAGCCTCTTTGAAAGGAGTAAACCCAATGAGCTCAGTTCCTTTACTCGGAGTTCTGAAGGAAGGGTTGCGAAGGAATGCCAATGGCTATTGCTTCCTGAATCTCAGTTTGTTTGATCCCTGCAAAAATCACTAGACTCAATTCCGAAGCCCTTGTGCCTCTGTACCCCAGAGGTACAAGCAACCAATACCTCCGTCCCACAAAGCTCCAAGCGCTTGCCCACTCTGCACTCTCGCCGAGTCACGGAGGCGTTCTGTGCGCCAGCGAAGAAGTCCCAGCAAAGACCCGCAACCGTACAACACTCCTCGCGCGAATCCGAGCAGGGACAGATGAGGCAGGTAAAGTGCCTGCTACATCAATCTCAGAGGTGCAGAATGTCCCTTGCAGCGCCAACAAATATCACCTCCCTGGGAAACGCCCTTCCGAAAACACGTTTGGACACTGCCTTCAGAGCCGTTTTGAAGGCGGGTAGTGGCACGTGGCTGGGCAAATATCAAGCTGAACAGGGTCAATCGTGGGTGCCACGGCCGAAGCCCTTCTGAGGACTCGGACTAACGGTGTAGCTCGAACTCAATGATGTTGCTAGTGCACAATTGCAAATGCTCCGAGTCGTATGGATGCGACGAAAAACGACATGCTCACAGAGCGTGCTTGCCGTGCTAATATCCGTGCTATCCAAGTCGGTCACTACCAAATAGGCAGTTAACTGCCCAGTACAACTGTTAACATGTGTTGTACCTACCTCCAGCATTGTTCATCCAATATCCAAACCAACAGTGGCGAAACCGACGGCAAGTTGACGCGTAAATCACAGCTCTTGATGGAGTATCAAGAAAAATATCGAATTCTAGTCAACAACTGAAACTCATGCTGGGGTACCATTGCATGTCTGTGAGCTTGCAGCCCTCTCCTCAGCCGTACAGAAGTCGGCCGCACAGCCCACAGGAGGGGCCTGAACCGACGCGCAACTGCCACCAGGCTAAGTCCTATCTTGAAGGCCGCTTTCAGATCCCTACCGTAAAATCCCTCCGACCCCTTTTGAACGGGGAGGCGGGTGGAACATGTTGAACGAGCAAGGGTAGCTCCTCCACGTCTACCATCCAGGTTCCGTGAGCTAAAATGTCCGTGACTGCGCGCAAAAAGAAATGCGGACTGGAGATGTTGGGGGGATTTAGCCATATTTGGCTTTATTGATTAGTTTTGTTTATCTTTCTTACAATGCATGTAGTCGTGGAGATGTCAGGGATGTTGTCTGTTTCGAACAGGCTGATTTTTGCTTTGCTACAGCCTCTATTGAAAACAGGATGCTTTACTTCGTTTTGGCACCTGGGGTTCGATTCCACGGAACAGGCTCAAATCTGAGGAGGTTGTTGATGAATGTTTGAAGTGGTCTGAAAGCAATCCACCAGTTCCATCCCGTCAAAGCGACACAAACTGGCCTTGACCTTCTCCAACAAGCACAAAGCCCTTGAGATGCGAAATCTAGCGGTCAAAGGGTAAAAGCAAAATCAAGCGCAAGAACGAGCAGAACATTCCCAGTGCGCCTCCTTCAGCACCTGGAAGCGAGCACAAGGCCAGTAGGTTGCACTCGTACAGGTGGTCCTCCCGTCCTGTCCGACTGAGTCGAAACCTGTTTTTTCAATGATGCTAAACATCAGTGTCACCAACCTAAAGCAGGGACCCCTAGAAAATATGCCGGACCATAAACAGTGGCGCTTGCGACTTCGCACAGTCGCCAACACAACTCCAGATGCAACACAATGCAACGAGCCAATACATGCTTCAAGCGAAAAGAAGAAGTCTCCACAACCATTCCAGCAACAGCATCCGCTCCAGCAACAGCCTGGCCGTCCCGGGGGTTTTCGGAGTCCTCCAGTGGGATTGCGGAGGAGTAGTTGGAGAGGCCCACATTGTTCCCCGCGTAGACCAAAAGCTGCCTGGTGAGCGCGCTTCAACCGGATGCTTCAAGCAAAACCCGGTTCCTCTCACGCACCCAAATACCGCGAAAAGCAAAGTGTGCCTAGGTGGGAAGGTGTCAAGGTGCCAACTCTGTGTCTTTAGCTGTCTGGATAACGAAACCCCCAAAAAAGACATGGTTCATAAAGGAAGGGAGGAAGGGAGGAAGGGAGGAAGGGAGGAAGGGAGGAAGGGAGGAAGGGAGGAAGGGAGGAAGGGAGGAAGGGAGGAAGGGAGGAAGGGAGGAAGGGAGGAGGGAGGAAGGGAGGAAGGGAGGAAGGGAGGAAGGGAGGAAGGGAGGAAGGGAGGAAGGGAGGAAGGGAGGAAGGGAGGAAGGGAGGAAGGGAGGAAGGGAGGAAGGGAGGAAGGGAGGAAGGGAGGAAGGGAGGAAGGGAGGAAGGGAGGAAGGGAGGAAGGGAGGAAGGGAGGCAGGGAGGCAGGGAGGCAGGGAGGCAGGGAGGCAGGGAGGCAGGAAGAGGAGGTGGGACAACACAGAAACGCACACGTGGAGACTTAGACGAAAGACACTCAGAGGCACAGAGCGGCACAAAGGGACAGAAAGAGACACAGGGAGACGCTGAGAAAGAGTGAAAGAGAGACAAAGAAAGAGACAGAAAGAGACACAGAAAAACGGAACGAAAGAAAGAAACAATGTGAAGAAAGGAAATGAAACGACATGAATTGGCATGAAATGACATGAAATGACATGACATGAAAAGATGTGAGCTGAAATGAACTGTCATGAAATGACATGAATCAAATGAAATGAAATGAAATGAAACGAAACGAAATGAAATGAAAATGAAACGAAATGAAATGAAATGAGATGAGATGAAATGGGGTGAGATGAAATGAAATGAAATGAAGCAAGAAAGCAAGAAAGCAAGACAGCAAGAAAGCAAGACAGCAAGAAAGCAAGAAAGCAAGAAAGCAAGAAAGCAAGAAAGCAAGAAAGCAAGAAAGCAAGAAAGCAAGAAAGCAAGAAAGCAAGAAAGCAAGAAAGCAAGAAAGAAAGAAAGAAAGAAAGAAAGAAAGACAGAGGCGCAAAGAGAGGCAATCAAAGTCAGGGACATAAAGAGATACAGAATATACAAACAGAAAGACAGAGAGACACACAAAAAAACACAGAGACCATTGTGATCCCTTTGAAAGCAATTCAAACAAACCACTTGGAAGGGAGACTATTTGATGCAACTGCAGCTCAGCCAGGCTGCGTATAGGGCTCCCCGGAGGTGTCCAAAGTCACCTTGGGTCCCGATGTTTTCCGCTTTGGCATCTCATTGACATAAGAAGCGCAGCGCGCAGCTAAATACGTCTGAAAAAAACTGCTTTGCTTGGGACTTGGCAACACCGTCCTGCCCAGCTCAGACACGAGGATCTCACTCGAGCTGCAGGCGTAAAACAAGTTGCACCAGCATAGACACGGACAAGCAAGAGTGACATGTGGGCTTTCGTGCAAAGTGTTTGACCATCGTGAATGCTGGATAAGTGCGAAACGAAGCAGACAGAAACAACCCCCCTGATAACCCTGGCTCTGCAGCACCCTGCAGCAGCCTCCTCCGATAGCAGCCTTCAACTGTTTCAGACCCATTCGCCAGCAGCACCCATCAACAGCACCCTTAACCGCACCCTGCCAATGTCAACCCCCCTGCTTTCGAACTTGGAGAACCCCTCTAGTTTGCAGCTATCAGGAAAACCATGTCTATCCCCCAAACTTCTTACAGCACCAACCTCCAGTGGCTTAGGGAAACCAAACGTGGGGAAAAACATCTTCTTGGGAAAGGATCCCCCTTCAAAAACAAAAAAACGCGACGCCTCGAGTCCGCCCGCTTCCTTCAACCGGCCGCTGCTCCATGCGCGTCTTTTTTTCGACTCTCTCCGCTGTCCAAGCGCAGCGCCGGCCTCAGCAGCTCCCCGAGGCGCGCGTAGCCCCGGGCGCTGAGATGCAGCGTGTCCCAGGCGTAGAAGGAGAAGTCCGTGGCGAAGCGCGGGTCCTCGCGGGCAGCGCGAGCCCGAGCTCTAGCCCGCGGGACGGCTTCGCTCAGCTCGAGCTCGCTGGACGTGTTTTGTTTTTTTTTTTCCTGGGCGGAGAAGCTGGAGCCACCCCCCGCAAACTTGAAGATCTGTCTATTTCTTGCTTGTGGGTTTGTTGTTGTTGTTTGTCTCTCTTCTCGCTCTCTCTCTCTCTCTCTCTCTCTTTCTCTCTCTTTCTTTCTCTCTCTTTCTTGCTCTTTTTGTTTTGGGGGGGGGAGATTCTTGAGGGAGAAAGTGAAGGCCCCAGGTTGGTCCAAGATGCCAAGGAACAAGATGCGCTGTGGTGAAAGATGCGCAAGGCTCTCCGAGCTGTCCTTCAAGCTGAATAACATGCATCACATGCCTTATCCAAACCGGTTGACCAACGCAGGTGTACTTCGAGCCAAACGTCCAGCTGAAACAGCTTGAGAGAATGCTCTGTGCAACGATGCAAAAGGAATTCCAGAAAATTGAGGTCCACCTCAATGGCGAACATGGCCCCGAAGGCAGCACGACTGGACAAGCAGACTCAGCATTGCCGGCGCTGGCCAAGCAAAAGTTCTGAACCTTGCTGGGTTTTGGACAGTGTTGGAGAGCGGCCTTCTGTATGATCAGCGCATCAACTGTACCAACAGCGCTCGGGGTTTCAAGCATGACTCTGAATGCTGTGACAGGAAACAGCATGCGGGTAGATCTTTGCCAGTCAGTATTGACACCTTGGCAGGTGAATACTGCACCTCACCGGAGGCATCCCTATAGCGACAAATCTCTATGCCACTTCTAGAGGGAACATGTAGCCTAAGGGTCGAGCAAAAACATTGGATGAACCACGAGCTCGCTCCCCCCCCCTGGAAAGAAAGAACTAGATGACCCCTTCTACCCTTGCATGATTGACACAATCTTCATCGTTTCACCCAAAGCTCTTGCTTGGCATTTTGCAGACTCAGAGCAACCCGACCCGACCCGACCCCCACCCCAGACACTGACTCTCCTGCGCAAAGAGGTCCAGGCACTCGCAGCCAATCTCCTGGCACAGCTGCGCAGTGAGCGCCTTGGCACGCCGGATCTTCGGCACCAAGCCCACCGCGAAGTGGGCCGGGGCCAGGTTCCTGGGAATCGGCGAAAGCGACACGCCGCTGGCTGGATCTAAGCTGCGAGTTGCGATGGCCTTGCCCGAAAGACTTCCAGCTTTGGTGCGCAATGCCCCAAGACAGACACCCTATGCGGGTGTCCCACCCAAAAAAGGTGCAATGGAGCAACAGGGGCGGTCCTTTCCCTGGCCAGTTGACTTGTGAGAAAGGAAGCAGGAAATGAACACAGCAAAGTGATGCAGTGTGATGTTATTAATTGCCAGCAGCTAACAACTTTCGGTTTGGGGAACCTCCCTGTTCACTTCCATGATTGGAAAGAGGGCAGTTTCATCTCTCGCGTGCTCCGTGGCGAGGAAACAACCAAGGGATAACAAACAACCAAGAGATGGGGCGGTCACTCAGAGAACCAAGAGATGACCGAGGAATGGACAAGGCTGCAATCAAAAAGCTGGAGACCAATTTGGTCCTTGCAATCAAACCCAAAGGTCCCAAGCATCCGCCGACTTGTCATCGACTCATCCCTGTCCGAGCGGCATTTGCAGTACCAGCAGCTTTGTGTCTGGCAACGCCTCCTTCAGCTTCTGGTGGAACATCCGTGTGCCCTCCACTACCACCTCACGCGAATGCGCCGAGCGGAAGTTTGGCGGCTTCGAAACTTGAAGCTACGCGGTCGGTAGTGTCAAGAACTGTCACTGCATCCATGGCTGGATGGGTAACCTGGGTATCCACCGAGTCAAAATGAGAGTATCGGAAGTCTCTTCAACCCCCTCCCATGACCCGACGCACGCCGCGCTTCCCTCGGCCTCGGGCTCGGCCCCGAAGTGCAAGTCATTGACGCCGCAGTACAGCACCACCTCACCCCAACGCGCGAGTTGGTGGCTCAAGGAAGGAGAACCACGGGATCACCTATGCAAGCACCGCGAGCTGTCCCGTTTTGTTTTCTTCTGTAGAATCATGTCATCCATGCCTACAAACACGTACTCGTCACACTGTGTGCGGCTGCACTAAACCAAAAGGGAAAAACATCCATGGCCATGGCCTTCTGAAGCTCAGTCTTCCCCAGTCTGCCCCAAGGTCGGGCACCGAGCCAGGTTGAGCAAGAACCGAGCCATTATTCTGCTAGTGTCCATATATATATATATATATATTATATATATATATATATGTGACAATACACATTGAATACACACAGCCCACCCTCCCCCATATAAAACCCAACACGTGGATACAACACACCACCACCCCCCCCCCAAAAAAAAAAAAAACGACGGAAAAAGAGAACGAGACAGGGGTTCGCCATGTTTCCCCTCCACTCCCCTTCCCTCCTTGACCCGTGCATCCCTCCCTCCATCAAATCCCATCCGATCCAATGGCCATGGGGCCAGGCGCGGGCGGTGGCGCAGCACCAAGACCTCCGTGAAGGCCAAGAGGTCGGAGAGGCGGCTGCCCCCGAAGCCGCGGTTCACCAACGCCACCTCCGACGGCGCCAAGTCCTCCTCGATCGATTGCCGCGATCGTGCGATCGCGCCCGCGGGCAGGCGGGCACGATCGCGCGCGGGCTCGGCGCGGGCTGGGGGGGAATTGGCAGGGAAGGAGAAATGGAATGAAACGTTGAAGGGGGATTCCTTCAAGGAAACCTGTTGGGGGATGGTTTATAGGGGTCATCCCCTCATTCTCTGCTGGGCACCAGCAAGAAAAGGCGTCAGGAAGCAGGGGACGCCATGCATGCTCCTGAGTTGTAGGATTAAGTAGGTAACCCATGATTCGCGGCTTGGATGGTCGGATAGTTGTTGGATGTTCAGCCGCGGTAGTGGTAGGGGAACATCATTTCAACCTATGGTGTGGGGCTGGTTTGGCTGGTCGCAGCATCCTGCAGGCCTGGGAAGGCCAAGAAATGGCAGGGGAATGCCCTGACAACTCGGGCTGCCCCCTCAATCTTCTGGTGCTTGGAGAAGGATAGCAACCAGAAATCCATCACATGAGCTGAGCAACCCCAGCTTCCGTTGAAGCCGGTACAGGCCAGCTGAAATTGATACTTCTTTTACCCGTCTGGCATCAATGAGTTTGTCATGGACTGACGGAGATATGTGGATTTCCAGGCGTTGTTCCTCCTGAAGACGTGAGGTTGTCTCTGCAAGTTTGCAATAGTGCAGTCAAAATCCTCGGTTGGGGTGTTCGATTTAAAAGGGACTTCTTCACGTTTTGGGGCAACACCCAATGCTTATTCCAAATTTAGTCATCGAGGGTCAACACTACACCCCTCAAAACCGCTATCAAAGACCACATGCGCGCACGGCCTGCGACCTTGTCGCATGCTTCGCATCAACCCCGTCCTTGAGCGTCACCCAGTATGTAAACATTGACCTGAGCCAGTTACTTGCCCAGCCGTGGCAAAATAAGGTCAGCCACTCTTTCGTGGGGTCATTGTCAAAATGGAAGCCAACCCCCGCAAAGGAAAACAACACCTGCACAACTGGGGCGGTTTTTGTGCACGCACCAAGGGCATCACTCCGTCGTTTCGAACCAAGGCACGCGCTGATACGGTTTGTCCGCTTGCAATCCTTCCTACTCAATATCTTATCAGTAAGCAACAAAACACAGCTTCAGCCACAAACTGATTGCATCACTTGGCCTCAAACTCCACAGAATGACTGTTCCACAGTCAAAGGGTACTCATGCCCTAAGGCGTTCGCAGGCGCTTAGACAAGCGGCGGTGCCCCCTACCATGTCCCCCTTCCCAAAATAACAGATCTCTGCTTTAAAACCACATGGCTTTGTGCGGGTTCCAGGTCAATCTGGAGAGTTTCCACACCCTACTGTGGGTGAACCAAATCCTGCACCACCTAAGAATCCCTGGCATGCTGATTCCCTTGTAAATACCAACAAACAACGGTTTCCCATGGTTTCCAAGTGGTGCGAAACGGATTTCGCAACCATCCACAGTATCACAAACCTCCATTTGCTTCAGTCCCCAGTATGACTCACTCGCACCTTTGCGAATGGATTCATCGGTGCTCCGCCCGCCCGCTCCGCTTGCCGGGCCGCGAGCCGGCGAAGACCACCCCCTGCTGCGGCGGCGCGTCCTCGTCCCGCGCCTTCTGCTCCGCCGCGCGGGCCAGGCCCTGGGTGAGGCGCCCTGAACGGGTGGCTCCCGGCGGGTGGCTCCCGGGCGGCACGGCGCCACGAGACCCGTTGAAATACGCCAGAGCAAGCAGAAGTGCGGCCCAACGACCAAAAAAAAAGCCAATCATGATCTCAATGAATTGACAAGAACAGTTGAGCCAAACATGGCAACATGGATCAACATGTCGAACATGTTGCTTGCCTTCTTGGGGAACTTTTGCAACATCTATCAAGAGGAAGCCATCCCGGCTTCCCGAGAATGTCGAACTGGAGAACCTATCTGCCAAATGTGCTTGGACTGGCACCAAGAGTGGGAACCGATGCCATCAGTGAACACGATATGTAGCTAGCGCTTCGCCTCGATGCAATCCTTGCATTGCGTGATTTGCGCACCGCGTCTTCGCCCAACGCTGTTGCCAAGCCCACCGGTCATCAGAGGCCTGGGACTTGACGCTGGACGACCAATCAAATGACCCCACCTCTTGGATGCTCAGAGAACCGCCTCAGCCGCGTGCATCAAGTCCAAGGCATGCTGCCACTGCTCGCAAAGTTGACACGCACTGATGGCTGCTCTGACGCTAATCTTGTCAGGTTGAACATACCCTTGAGGCATTGCCCAAAACAGACCCAAAGCTTCGTGCCAGTGCTTCTGACATGCGCGCATGGCGGTATTGAAGCTGACATGAGTCGGCTGTAGCTTTGCCTGAGGCATGGCACTCAGCAACTCCAAGGCCTGTTGCCACTGCCTTCTCTTGCCGCAGGCGGCCATAGCCACATTGAAGCCGACATCGCTCGGGTGACAAGCGGCCTCCGGCATTGCCGCAAGAAGGGCCACGGCCTGCTGCCACTGGGCACCCTCCTCACAGGCACTGACTGCTGCATTGAAGCTGATGCTGCTTGGGGAAGCCTTCGCTTTGTCCATGGCCTGGAAGAGGACCAAAGCTTGCTGCCACTGCCCCCCCTTCTCGCAAGCGCTGATCGTGGCATTGAAGCTGATCGTGTTTGGGCGAATCACTGACTCAGGCATGGAGGCAAATAGCTCCAAAGCTTGCTGCCACTGTCCGCCCTTTTCACATGCACTGATGGTCGCACTGAAGCTGACGACGCTGGGTTGTACCTTTGCTTTGCACATGTTGTCCAATAGTCCCAAAGCAAGCTGCCACCGCCCGCCCTTCTCGCAGGCACTGATTGTTGCGTTGAAGCTGATCTTGTCAGGATGAAGCGCTGCGTCCAGCATGTCTTGAAACAAGCCCAGTGCATTCGCCCACTGCCCAGCCTTTTCGCAGGCACTGATGGTTGCGCTGAAAGTCACAACATTTGGCTCCAGCTTTTCCCTCGGCATGGCCTGGAAAAGTCCCAGCGCCTGTTGCCACTGCTCGCCTTTCTCGCAAGCACTGATGGCGGCACTGAAGCTGATCGCATCAGCCGGAACATTTGCTTGGGGCATTGCAGCTAGCAACCAGCAGGCCTCCTGCCACAGTCCTTGCTTGCTGCAGGCTGACATTGCAACTGTGTAGTCCCGGGCGTCTAGCAAAACCAGCGCATCCTGCTTCATTACCTCCAGTGTCTTGAGCACCAGATCCGCCCGCTGCTTCCGCGCTAACATGGCGAACGTCTGCCAGGCCGGAATCATCTGCCACCCGAGCTGCGCGTCCAACACCGCTCGCACCGCTCGCTTTGACGGATCTCGGCCCAAGTCGCAAAGGGCCAGCAGGCTCCGCCGCTTCGATCTGAGCGTCCGGCACGCGTTCATGGATGCGAATCCCGCAGGTCCAGGGTGACATTGCTCGCTTGTCTCTCAATGGGAGGAATCCACAAAATCAGTGGTTCCCTTTGGCTCCTCTTTGGTTCCCCTTCAACAAACCTCGAAAAAACGCCCACGTTGTGACTTGTTGAGAGGCGTATTCAATGATGCTCAGCCGCAAGCCCGGATGGAACCCCGTCAAGCTACTGGCTTACTCTCTCACACATACACAAATAGAGCCCGAGCCCCCCCCCCTCCCCCAACGAGCCGGCATTCCTTGGGATGTCTCAAGAATTGAACGCTTGGGGGCAGGAGCACTGTTTCTGAGATAGACCAACCGCCAGCTGCGTTCTGTGGAACCGCCCAAAAACGTTGGCCCAACGACCCGTTCCAGGCCCTCCCAGATCGCATGCCTTCGCAGCACTGGCCCAGCCAGAAGAGGACCCGAAGAAACGTCGGCCCGAAGAACTGCAGCAAGGTGCCCACGGTGCCCCTCTTGTCTTCCATGGCTCGCGAAGGGCACCCTACGAAGGGACCTCCAAGCTTGGGCAGCTAAAAGCAGGTTTCGGGGGCAGAAGCTGTCGGATTTCCCGACCTCTGGCTGAACTACCAATCCGTACCCCTGCCCGTGCGTCTAATTTTGACCATGTTGCCCGCTCCTGCTTTGTTGCAGCATGACTTTCTTTGTCTGGTGCTGAGTTGAGCCGCCGCTACGAGCGCCAGCACTCTCGAAGGTAGCAGAATTTCAAGTATCTGCATGGTTACTTCTGCCCAACTGCCAGCCTGTGCCAAACTTACTGCCCCGCTGTTTGAGAGCCATCCGGTCGGCGATGCAACGAGCGTCGCGTGGCCTGCTCGTCACCTCCCGCTGGGCGCCACAAGAGCCCGAGGATCACTCGCACGGCCAATCCCTGCCAATCGACATCCCGCCTCGACCTCCCGCGAAAAAATAAATCCACCGAGGCGCAGTGATGTGCCACTCGTGGGCAGCATCGGCTGGAACCTCTGGGCTCACCTGGCAGTGGAAAACCTGCTTTGGATGGTCAACCTCAGTAAGTTGGTTCTGACTGGGGTCATAAGTGGAACAACTGGGGTTGGTTGGCTTATAACTTATAACCATAGTTAGGACCCAGCAACTACGAAGGTTGAACAGGAGACCCCAAGCTACCGCCAGCGACCGTTTGCTAGTGGTTTGGAACACAAAACAGCAACGCGAGCCCCAAAAAATCAAAAATGGAGCAGCGGCAGCCAATCCACATCTGCCCGCATTACTTCAACATCTGCGCCATCACTCAGCTCACTCTGCCCACCCCCGACCCCGAAGAAAACTCTCCCAGCCCTTCCGACGTCCCACCTGGACCTCAGCTCCTGAATCCGTTGCAACAAAGACCACAAAGTACGTGGTAACCTCAGATCGACGTGAAACAAGCTGAATGGCTGAGCCCTGTGCATGGTGGTCGTACCTCTTTGTCGGCGGTCATGAGTCTCCGAGTGGGGGATCCTTCCAATGCTCGCCTCCAATAAAATGATCTTGACCATCCCAAGAAGGTCTTCCATGGCCCATGTTCAAGTGAGCCGGCAACAGGCTTGGGCATGTGAAGCCAACTTCTGAAGGGCACAAAACAACAGGTAGGAAAATGGCAAGGCCATGTTCTAGGCTTGCGCCAATCCATCAACACATGCTGCTCTCGATCGAGCAGACTGGCCCTAGGCTCATCCGAGACGCAGTCATGGATCCTGGCACCCACTTCACCAATCCATCCAGCTTTCCATAGATGTTGTCCTGAAATCAATAAGCCAGGAGGGCGTGTCTGACGTGCAAGGGTTGAAAGCGACGGCAAAATTCAGATATGTCTTCCATGGATAACGTTGTCAAAACCAACCCAAGCGATGGCTGCCAAAATACCAAGCGATGGCTCATGGGGCAACACTGACACGCGGGCGCCCGGTCCTCGTCTTGGAACTGGATGGACTGCACGACCGAAGACTCGCCCGGCGCTTCGGGCCAGAGGACGTAGTCCTGCTACATGCGCGGCGAGGAGCGAGGAGGGCTGACAAGGCATCCTCTTCCCGGCGTGGGCTTGCGTTCAAGGAAGCTTTCAGCAGCTCGTGCAAAGCAGCCATCAAAAAAAGGAAACAAACAACGTGAATGCACTAATGAGGTGGCGGCCTCCGCCAATGGATCACAGTCAGCGTGATGAAACGCTCCCGAGCGCATCAAACATCGAAGAACTCAAAGGGCCCGCAAGAAGCAGCTCTTAGTTGCACATCTCAAATGGGGCAGGTCGGCAAATGCCCGAAAATGAATTCGAAGCGAGACTTGTACAAGATCGCCCAACCCCAGCCTTGACGAGAAGAGAAACCGGCAGCGGCTGCTCTCCATACCTAGCGCAATGCCCTCAAGTCGAGCTTCTGCAGCTTCCCTTCTTCGCCCCTTGGGCTTGATATCAGCTGTACCCGAAACCAAATGGAGACGACCTACTTGAGGAAGTTTCCATCTGGCCGTGCTACCTGACCGCTCGGCGACTGCTGTGGAAGCTTCCAGCCCAAACCATTGCGGCAAATGGCCAAGTGTCCAATTTTCCCAAACCCTTACGATTCGACGCGTCTTCCATCAAATGGCTGTGGGTCAAAAATAGGCATCCAAAATGGAACCCTGGCAAATGGAACCAAAGACTAAAAACCTGCGGTCCGATTCCTGGTGATCTAATTTTGACTACCCAAATCGCGATATCTGAACCCAAATCCGAATATCGGAGCCCTGCGTATTTTCCTCTTGGCCCACCTCAGAGGCCCCCAAGCCATTCATTCCCGAACCCCGAGCCACGCGTTCTCCGCGTAGACCAGCAAGTAATCCCGGCTGTCCAGCCGCGTGCCTACGGAGAGCTGCACTTCACAGTCACAGCTCTGCTCTGTGCTACCTGAAATGACTCCTCTTGGTCAATATCCCTCGGACAAAGATACTGAACTTGACAAGAATCCTCAATCCTTTGCACTTTTACCGCGAGTGCAAGAAGGCGCGGCACACAACAGAAGGAAGGCGAAAGCAGGAGCGTCCGAAACATGGCCGCCTCTTGGTAAAGGTCTACCGCTGATTCCCCCAGTATTGCAAGTAGCGAACAAGAGACCCCACCCAACTTGGGCGTGGCTGGATGTAGCTGTGGCTGTGTGTTCTTTTCTTGGATTCGGACCCCTAACATGGTGTTCCTTTGAGTTCCTCCTGAAAACCAACCAAACGGGTTCCCGAAAAAAGACGAGCCACCCACGTAGCTCTCCCCCCCCCGCCAGCAGCTACCGTGAACTGGAACTCGAAGGGCGCCAGCGCCGCTCCGATCTGAGTCCGGCCCAGGCCGCTGCCGTCGTAGGCCAGGTACAAGCCTCGAACTCCGAAATCCGAAGCCGAAGCCAAAGCGATGGAACCGGGTGGCGAACCGTTTCAACTGGGAATCCCCATCAAGCCCAAGGAATCTTGCCTCGAAATCTGATCATCTGTCTGGGCAAAGCCAAATTCATGGGACCCTGGGTTTGGGTTTCCTGACAAATCCCATCAAAACTAAGGCATCCAAAAAAGACACCCCCAAATGGATGGAGAGGCTGGGGAATATCAGTTGATTCTATAGATGGACCGAGAATACTTTGGAAAACTGTCTTCATTCGACATGCCAGCAGTCCGAAAGATACAGCCAGCATTGATTGACATCTCACAGTTTCAGCTCCCCATGCGCCCCCAAAAAAAGTCCCACTTCGGCTGCTGAAACCGAGCACGCTGAAAACCGGTCAACTCCACCATTCGTCGAAAAAGCAGGCGCCACCTTCCTTTTTCGGCACGGTCCCCCCCCCCCCCCCCCCGACCCCCTGTCATCCAAAATTGACTTCTTGTGGACCTTCCAGGAATCCCTAAAACCGCCCCCCAAGCGCGGGATTTAAGACCTGGTAGCCATTGCTGTTGGGAACCAAGGGTTCCTTATTTTTTGACATCCCGCAATGTGGAGCAAAAGACAGCACACCAATCAAGCAGGAGGGGGCATGAATCAAAACCGGGGGACTGCTGGGCGTTCAAAAGATGCGAACATGGTTCACCCGTTTGGCCCTTCCAATTGCAACAAAGCCATGCAGCAGACGCTGCACCACTCCCATGACAGTGGCCAAAAGGCGCAGCGCTGTGTACTGGTCGGAGTACTGCAAGGGCAGGTCCACATGCACAGTGCCAGAGATGAGCTCTTGCCCGGGGTCCTGGCTGAGTTTGGTCATTTGTTAACCCCTTCTCGACTGTGGCAAGAAATGGCAAAAAGCTGCTTTCGAATGGTATTCCACGGAATTCCTCCGGACGTGTATACGCGAACCGGAACAGGCCCTCACGAAACAGGCCCTCACGAGAGTTGAAGGCTCAGCCGCGAATCAGATGGCCATGGAGGTTATGACTCATGTTGTCCTCGGGCATCTGGGCGTTACATCTGTGCAACGCATCAAATGGGGGAACACCACAACTCGCCAGAACATCATGACTGTCACCACCCGTGGTGTAAACTGATCTTTCTTGTCTGAGGTCAGCCAAACTCAACACAGTGAAACATAGGCGTTTCGCACCTACCCTGCTATTCACAAACACAGAACCTCGCAGGGGGGTCGTGGAAGACCATGTGTCCTCCAAAAGGCACCCTTTGGTGGGTTCCGAGTTGGTGGACCAGAGGGTGATATGTTTCTCAGCCGGTTTCACCCTTTGTACATACACAAATCCAGCTCCTGGTCGTCGAAGCTCAGGCTGGTGAAGACCACCTCCGGCACGCCGCCGCAGTCGTCCCTACGTGTCACGCGAGAGTCGACCGGAGGACAACCCCAGCACAAGAATTGCTGGGATTAGTCAACTCAGCTGCCCAAAGAATCCAGAAATAAAAGGCGTCCCTTCTTGGAACATTGACTAAATGGATCAAAACTTGAAAGAAGAAAAAAAAAGGTAAAAGGTCGGCTTTGGGCAACTGATAAAAGTATCAAGCCAGCAGGCCGAAAGGGGGTATCCACTGAACGGAAGGTTTCTTGCTTCTCACATCTTAGAATTGAGCTTCTGATTTTCGCCCTGTGTCCAACGTCCACTGTCAAGACAACAGACACGCGCGAAATCCAAGGCTGACACCTTGAAATCTCTGATTTCATTCACATCAAAGCCTGAAGGCTCTTCTGTTTCCCAGACTGAAAGCAAACTGTGGCTTCTCCCCTTTGCCGGGCAGCTGGAAAGGGATGCGCATGGTGAGCTCAATGTCATCGTTGACCCCCGCAATGTTCAGCACGGTGCGGGTGCCGTGCTGATAGTCCCCTGGCAATGTCACCTCAGAGAATTGGCTGACCAACAGAGTCCTGAGTGAGACTGGGCATGCAGAACTGTCAAGCGGGTGTGGCTCAAAATTAAAGAGCTAGGCTTACGCAGCTCATCGCAGCTCTTAGTCTTTCCATTTGCCAAGAGTGCCATTTTGGCACCTTTTCTTGAGCCGAGTCAGTTCGGTTTCTCCAGTCCGTCGGTTTGGGCCCCGCCCTAGCCCCTTGCACCCGAGGTGCGGAGTTGCTGAAGGACATGGGCAGCTGAAACTCGGTCGATGGGTTGCTCCCCTGGAGGTCGTCGCTAAAGTAGACCCGCCAATACTTCCTCGAATCGGGTTGATTTCAGTGTCTGGGCCCTCAAGTCGTGGCTTTGCCCGCAAAGTGTTTCCTTGCCAGAGATGCACGTGACCAGGAAACTGCAGTCATTTCCCCTGCTTTCGTGCGCATCCTAAAACAAGGCTACAGTATCGTACAGTAGGAACAAAACCGGCAAATCGAACAGCGTAAGCACCCAATAAATGCAGCCATGGCCGTATATCCTCATGTTATTGACTTCAGCACAACCTCAAACGAGCTGTGCAGCGGTTGTTTTCCCTGCTCACATAAAACTGAAGCTCGACTCACGCTGGCACCAAGGGATGGTCCCAATTTGGACGTCGATTGCATCCAATGCAAAAGCAACTACAGCTAAACCTGAGACTACTTAGAAGCCATCAGCGCAGTGGGCTGGCAAGCCCCGCTCACACCCGGAATGCCTTCGCATCCAACGGAGCTAGAGTTTTGATGGTTGCATGGACCACACCTCCCGCTCTGCATCTGGCAGGAGCGTCGCGATGACTTCCTCGCACTCGCGCAGGGTCATGTACTTGGGAACGGGGTAGCCCAGGTCGAGGACCCAGCGCACGCCCGCTGCCTTGGTTGCTGCAACGACCCCCCTGCAAACAGTTTTTCACTTTTTGGGGGCTTAGTGGAAAACCCAACTTGATTTCAACCACACTGTTCAAGTCTAAAGATCCAATTACCCAATAGCAGTCAAGCTGCTTGGTTAGTGCCGTGGGCCTCCGCCAGCGCGCGCTCCGCCAGCGGCCGCACGTCGCCGGCCTTCATCTCGGGTACCTGGAGAGGCAGCCCCAGCGAGGCCACCAGCAGCCGGATGTGCCTCACCAGCAGGATAGCCAACCGCCTTTGCATCGCGGGCGAGTAGGTCTCGTAGTGATTGGCGATGCCAGCCGCGCGAGCCAGCTCAGAAAGCTTGGCGCAGCATGGGCATGGCCCATCCGAGGGCGTCTGCCCAGCTTTGGATGCCCTTGCTCGCACACTGCCGGGCTCTTGCAGCACGCGCAGATCCTCTTCTGTGACTTCGTCCCTGATGTAGTACTCCAGCACTGTGGCAAGGAGCATGGCGTTGGCCTCGCCGTGGGGCGTGTGGAAGACTCCGCCCAGCTGGTGCGCGATGGCGTGGACGTAGCCCACACTCACACGCGTGAAGGCTGTGCCCGCCTCGAAGGAGCCGCGTTGCATCTCCACCCGCGCGGCCGAGACATCGGCGTCGTCCCGCGACGGCTGACAGGCCAGCTCGATGTTCGAGAGGATCCGTTGCGCGGCCATCAGCGACTTCTTCGTAGTGTCCTCGGTGGCCCAGACGCTCACAAAGCTCTCGATCGCATGAGTAAGTGCATCCACGCCAGTCGCTGCCATGATTCGACTGGGGCAGCTCTTGAGAACCTGAGGGTCCAGAATGGCCACCTGTGGAACCAGGCCTGGATCTGCCAGCATGATCTTCTTCTTCGCTTCCGGCAGGCTAATGACCGCCGCCACCGTGGTCTCGGAGCCAGTTCCGGCCGTGGTGGGGATCGCAACCATGGGAGGCAGCTTGCGGCCGGTGACGCCGTACCAAGTCACCTGGAGCATGCCGTCCATGTCAAGCAGGTCCTTGTCAGGGTTAGCGATGAGTGCCCCGATCGCCTTGGCACAGTCCTCAGTGGTTCAGTGACCCTGGAAAAAAAGGGAACCCTTTTTGGGGAAGACCATTTTTCGTGGGGCAGCCACCGAAAAAAAGGGAAAAATAATTGGTGCCACCGAACAACTGAGAGTCCATGGGTGAGCCACCTCCAAGAGAGATGAGGCTATCGCAGCCAGACTCTTTAAAGAGCTTCGTGCCATCGAGGACTTCTTGCCTCGATGGGTTTGGCTGCACCTGGTCGAAGACGGTATATCGGATCCCAGCCGCGTCCAGCCCATCGGTGCAAAGCTTCGCGCACCCCAGGCGCACGAGGAGCGCGTCAGTGACCAGCAAAGGCTTGCTGACGCCAAGCTGCAGGAGCACTTCTGCCAGCTGGCTGAGGCTGCCTTCACCGCTGAGAACCTTGGGTTCTGGGATGGGAAGCACTCGGGTCGCCGCCCATCCGACTTTCCGCTTAAACGTCCAACCCGCCTTTGCAGGCTGCGGCATGACCTGGGGACCCAACGCGCGCGCCCCGCCACTTGATCTTCCAAATGCTCGAAGAGTGCAGTGACAAGTGGGGGTAAGCTTTGAGACTCAAACCGGCCTGTTTGCGAACATGGCTACCACTTCGTCAAGTTTGCCACACACCCTATCACGATTGAACTTTGAACACTGTTTGAATTATTGTCCATCATGTCAAGAGCGTGTTTTCAAGTTCTAAAGACTGTATTAAAATCAACATGTGCGACTCAAACCCGCGGAGAGAGCCTGTCCTTTAAACTCGCCCTTGCCCTTGCCCTTGAAGCCTCTGGGTTGGCGAGGGACACAAACAAGAAATGAGTGTGCGTCTCTTTTTAGCGGACCCGCAAAAATTGCGATGCTCCTTTCGGCTTCCCTTGAAAACCGCCAAACAAGTGGTGCCCTCCAAAGAAGATCCACCCACATGCAATGGCAAGGACATCATGTGGACGAATCGCTAACAGTTTGCGTGGCACGGTGAGGGAAATGTTCACCCCAAGGAATACCCTAAAGCCTGCACCCGGGACTTGCCGGATCAGTGGCTGCCAGGTGGGGTTGCGTCTCACGCCAAAACGCCAAGCATCAAAGATGTTGTTGGCGAAAACAAGTTTTCACTCCCCTGGCAATGCCTCCATTGGAGTAAGCCGAAGTTGAAGCTTCGCGCCAATACCCTTCGAGTGTTGACTCAAAACATGTTCCGCTCAAAACATTTCGAAACTTTCCAGGCATCCCCTGCCATGATTAGAGTTAGGCCCAGTTCTAGAATGTACATGTTATTGTTTACTTCACATGGAGCCACTGGTAAAATGTCATAAATGCATCCCAAGTCTACCCCAGCTGCCACCTGCCCCCGCAAGACTCGGCCCCTTCAGCGCAGCCAATCCAAGGCGCAGCGCGGTGGGGTCCGCGGTGCTGGGCAGCGCGAAGCGCACGGCCCCGCCCAGGAAGCCGCACCGCAGGTCCGTGTCCACGAAGCTCACGTCCTGGAGAGGGTCACGCGTCATCAAAAATGGACGCCAGAGTCGGCTAATTACCACGCGGGTAGGGCGGTAGGGCGGCTTCGATTCTGGCCCGGGTTTTTTGGTTGGCTCGCCTTCCATAGGCGTCAGGTGCTGACAACAGGTGCTGACTGGCAGCTTGCATGACTCGGTTCTTGCACAAAAACAACCGCAACACCGCCGCACCGTCTCTGGAAAGGGCAAAACATCCCGGCATGGCCTAGAAAAGTTGTCCAGGTAAGACACAATCGAGTCAAAGCTTTGTGGTTGGAAATGTTGCTGAGCCACTTAAGTTGACCGGCCAAGAAAAACCTGAAAAGCCAAGGGAGCTGGCTCTCTTCCAATTCGGCTCCTGCTGGGTGAAGGGCAGCGAGGTACCTCGCACATTTGGCCATGGGTCAAAATCCCAAGCCCGCAGCCCCAACATCCGATTCAATCCAACCACTAAAATCGGTTCTAGAATGGGTGGTGAATTCACCTACCCCAAAACGGTAACCGGTTTTGACCCAGAGCCATCTGACGCCCATTCTGAGCGGATGCGCAAGGATTGGCGCAAAAATGGGCGCTGAGAAAGTGCCGACATGTTTTCTGGATGGCAGAAATCTCATTGGCAAAAAGTGCAATTGCCGTGGAACAAGAGATTGGGAGCTCACACATTCACCAGCAACAAAGCAACATGACTCTCTGATCACTGATGCCGACCATCGCGTAGAGTACTGCTCACATGCTAAATGATGTCGGCTGCAAGTTATGGTGCAGCTTGGCTAGACAAACAAAGTCACCAGTGCTCTGAGCCGTCTAACAATCAATCTTAGAATCTCAAGATCTTAAAATCTTAGAACTTAGAATCTTAAAATCTGAAAATATAAAAACTTCCTAAAGGCTTCGAATCTTGAAACCTTAAAAACCTTATGTCTTAGAACCTTGAGATCTTAAACTCTTAAAATATGAAATTCCTAAAGTCTTACAATCTTAAAATCTCAGAATCTTCAAAAGCTTTAAGAACTTAAATTCTTTAAACCTCGAACAATTGAAATCTGAAAATCTTAAATTATTAAAATATTACCTTCCTTCAATCCGGGCTATATTTTAACTTCCTTAAACTCTTAATCTTGAATTTTTGAAATCTTGAAACCTTAAGATCTTAAAATTACAACCTTAGAAGATAGAATCTTGCAACCTGAAAATATAAACATCCTCAAGTCTTCGAATCTTGACTTCTTAAAACCCTCATGTCGTTGAATCTTCAGATGTTAAAATCTTAAAATATGAAATTCCTAAATTCTCAAACTCTTAAAATCTCAGAATCTTAAAAGCTTCAAAAACTTAAATTCTTTAAATCTCGAACTATTGCAATCTGAAAATCTTAAATTCATAAACAAGTAAAATATAATAAAATTCCTTCAATCCGGGCTATATTCTAAATTCCTTAAACTCTTAATCTTGAAATTTTGAAGTCTTGACATCTTAAGATCTTAAAATCTTAAATTCCGAAAGTCGCCAAATCTGAAAATCTCACCAAAAATGAAATCTTAAAGCCTTCGAAATCTGATAATGGATGGAAAATGGCTGGGCAATGGCCTGGCTGTTATAACCTTCAAACACCTCAAGTCTTTGAATCTTAAAACCTTAATTCTTAAACCATGGAAGCCTTAAATTCCAAAAGTCTTCAAATCTGAGACCCTTAGAATCTCAAGTGTTTAGAAATTTTAACTCGTAACATCTACTCATCGGACTTACCGGAAAGGGAAGTGACAGAACGGGCAGGGCAAGGTGCCCGGTGGCCGGCTGTGTCGCGTCAGCGTGTAAATCCGGCCACCGGACGTGATCGGGCCGCAGGCCAAAGCCGTTAGGGCTTACCTTCAGGTATAAGGCCGCGCGCCCCATGCCGCCGACCATGCGCAGAACATGCGCAGAACATGCGAACATGCGCATACGTTTTATGCTTATAAGGGGCGAAGGATTTGCGGATTGGTTTAGGCGATTTCCGAGGATTTTTGTAGCATCTCCCCGCAGCATCCAAAAACGAGTCCAAAAACGAGCGTTTTTGTGGGGTGCCTAATACTGGACAACACCCCCAGCATTGCCAGCATCATCCCGGATGATGCGGATGATGCTATGCATGCTGGCGATGCGAAACAAGGGGCTGAATGGGAAATGCAAGGAAACAGGTGGAAGTGAACGAACTGCAAGTCAAAGGAATTGCACGAAAATGAAGAGGGGTCTTCAAGGAAATGAAGGGAGCTGAAACGGCAGTGAAGTGGAAGGAAGTGAAGGGACATGCCAGGAAACTGTCAGGGAAGACATGCACAGGAAGTAAAGTTCGAATCATCCCGAGAACTAGCAGAACTTAGAGGGAAAGGAGATGAAAGAACGGGAAGGGGTGCCCGGTGGCCGGCTGTGTCGCGTCAGCGTGTAAATAATCTCGACTACGCGAATGCACGGTTGAAGGCTTGGGCTTGCAGTCTTTGCCACAGCTGCTTGATTTGATAACATAATCTTAAGAGATGATCACACACAAAAAAAGGCTCATTCCAGCGAAGCAAGCTTCATTGGCACACCTCACATGACTTAGCCCCCCCCCCCCCCCGCTCAGCTGTCATGCGCCACCAGCATTGGCTTGACGTCAGTGTCCAAAAAGCAAAGCTGAGATTTTGGGACCCCGACTTCTGAGCTGGCCAGAAGCTTCACTCAGCCAAATCCGCCAAGCTGCCCCCCTTTAACACGCAGGAAACAACTTCTTCAGGTCCATTGGTCTGCCTCGGCTTTTGACAAACCTTGCGATTTGGTCAGCGGTCCCATGGGTGTTGCTCGATCACCCTTCCCCCATCCAGAATCCGGCTGGCGACTCGCGCCTGTCCAGCCGCGGTCGTAGAAAAGGATGTCCGCGCCATCAAGGAGATCTGCTCGAGTTTGCCAGGCGCCGTCCAGCTCGGCATAGACCTGTGACGCATGACTCGGCCGGTTCCTTTCTGCATCGTTTTTGGGGCACCCCCAAAAGTGTGTTGCAAATCTCACAAAGGTGGCCAAAGAAGGCCCGAAAGAGGCTCACATTCCACGCCTGCCTGCAGGTAGCGACACCTCTCGCGGGTGATGGTCGCCAGCGGCTCGATGGGATCGAACTCTATCCTTGGCGTGCCATCTCAAAAAGGTCATCTCCCCAAGAGGCTGAGGAATATGCGAGGACCATTGTTGAAGGGAAAGCTGGTACCACGGCTCAGCAGGTATGCAGCACCCCCCATATATCTCATTCTAGTGTCTCCTGCCGCTAGCGGACAATATTGAAAATCAGCAATGGCTGAAACCTCTTATTCATCAGTCGACCGTGTTGCTGCCCCCATGCCATGGGGGTATGCAACCATTGCGGGATGTTGAGCAAGCTGAGGCGAGATGAGGCGAGGTGCGGCAAGGTGAGGCGGGGTGAGACGAGGTGAGGCCAGGTGGAGGCGAGGTGAGGCGAGGCGACGCGAGGTAAGGCGAGGCGAGGTGAGGCAAGGTGAGGTGAGAAGGCAAACTGAGGCGCGGTGAGGCGAGATGAGGCAAACTCAGGCGAGGTGAGGCGAGGTGACGCGAGGTGAGGCGAGGTGGAGTAAGGTGAGGCAAGGTGAGGCAAACTGAGGCGCCCAACTCAGGCGAGACGCGGGGTGAGTCGCGGTGAGGCGAGATGAGGCAAACTCAGGCGAGGTGAGGCGAGGTGACTCGAGGTGAGGCGAGGTGGGGTAAGGTCAGGCAAGGTGAGGCAAACTGAGGCGCGGTGAGGCGCAGTGAGGCGAGATGAGGCAAACTCAGGCGAGGTGACGCGAGGTGAGGCGCGGTGAGGCGCGGTGAGGCGAGATGAGGCAAACTCAGGCGAGGTGAGGCGAGGTGAGGCGCGGTGGGGTAAGGTGACACAAGGTGAGGCAAACCGAGGCGGGTGAGGCGCGGTGAGGCGAGATGAGGCAAGAGGTGACGCGAGGTGAGGCGAGGTGGGGTAAGGTGAGGCAAGGTGAGGCAAGGTGAGGCAAACTGAGGCGCGGTCAGACGCAGTGAGGCGGGATGAGGCAAACTCAGGCGAGGTGACGCGAGGTGAGGCGAGGTGGGGTAAGGTGAGACAAGGTGAGGTAAACTGAGGCGGGGTGAGGCGCGGTGAGGCGAGATGAGGCAAGAGGTGACGCGAGGTGAGGCGAGGTGGGGTAAGGTGAGGCAAGGTGAGGCAAACTGAGGCGCGGTGAGGCGAGGTGAGGCGAGGTGAGGCGAGGTGGAGTAAGGTGAGGCAAGGTGAGGCAAACTGAGGCGCCCAACTCAGGCGAGACGCGGGGTGAGTCGCGGTGAGGCGAGATGAGGCAAACTCAGGCGAGGTGAGGCGAGGTGAGGCGAGATGAGGCAAACTCAGGCGAGGTGACGCGAGGTGAGGCGCGGTGAGGCGCGGTGAGGCAAGGTGACGCAAACTGAGGCGCGGTCAGACGCAGTGAGGCGGGATGAGGCAAACTCAGGCGAGGTGACGCGAGGTGAGGAGAGGTGGGGTAAGGTGAGACAAGGTGAGGCAAACTGAGGCGGGGTGAGGCGCGGTGAGGCGAGATGAGGCAAGAGGTGACGCGAGGTGAGGCGAGGTGGGGTAAGGTGAGGCAAGGTGAGGCAAACTGAGGCGCGGTGAGGCGCAGTGAGGCGAGATGAGGCAAACTCAGGCGAGGTGACGCGAGGTGAGGCGAGGTGAGGCGAGGTGGGGTAAGATGAGGCAAGGTGAGGCAAGGTGAGGCAAACTGAGGCGGGGTGAGTCGCGGTGAGGCGAGATGAGGCAAACTCAGGCGAGGTGAGGCGAGGTGAGGCGAGGTGAGGTGAGGCGAGGTGAGGCGAGGTGAGGCGAGGTGAGGCGAGGTGAGGCGAGGTGAGGCGAGGTGAGAAAGAACCCCACACAATGAACCCCACGCAAGTTCAAACGGCACGTCAAGGGTTTGCCGCCCGCAAAGAGATGAGCCAGACTCTTCAGGCCGCATGGACAGGAAGTTGACTTGAGCGTCCAAACCCGAAGCTGGGTGCCCTTCCGCGGCCGCGGCGCTGTGTGCTGCTCGCACTCACTTTGTAGTCCCAGACCCCTTTCGCGAAGATGCCCTGGGCCGGCGCAGGGCCGGGCATGATTGTGTGGTGCAACTTCGCAGTTGAAACCCTCGTTGTCACTCACGCATCACCACCGCACCAGTTTGCCCCGCACCCCTCACCATGGACATACGTGCGTACCATACCATGGCCATCATGTTGTCGCTCTTTTCAAAAAGAAGGGCGTGATCAATAAGTCAATAAGTCCAGCCACATGGTGCCCACCTAATATCTTTGAAATTGTCAAAGACGTTCGTCATGCCACGTTACAACCGTTAGTTGTTCGTGCATATGCCTTGGTCAAAGATTCTCATGGGCTGGGGCTCCGAGCCGTAAAAAGGCGACCAACGATCACGCGCAGCAAAATGCACGAAATCCTTTGGTTCGCTTTCATCACGCACACTTTTGCATCCTTCCAGGATCTTTAGAGCAACCCTGGACAACAGATTTGACAGGCTGTCTTTCAGTGGGCAAATCAGAAGGGGATGGCAAGCATGCGTGTCGACCATAGCTCTCACGAGAGCTAACAAAGAAAGGTTTGTACACCCATTCGTTGGTGTAAAAAAAAATGGCGAACAAGTACCAACACACCCCAAGAGGGTCAATGAAAGGATACACCCCTCCCACCAAAGCTGACACCAGGAAAGCGGAAAAGGGACGATCCCCGCTTCCAGTGTTAGAAGTCTGGCGCTCACGTTTCGCCCAAGCCCTGGGCCAGGCCATTGAAGAAGTCTGCAAGCTCGCTGTCCTCGTTCACCCCCAGCCAGGCCCGATACCCGGTCACCTGACATGGCGGCGTCGCAAGGAATCCAAAACCTGCCCCTCGCTGGCCTGGAAACTGGTAAAACCCACCGCTTCCATGTCTCTGCCTCATGGTCCTGTCTCATCCTGTCCGCCCTCTGGCTGCAATTCGACGCCAACAAGTTCAGCTGAAAACGATAAGGCCACAAAGCCAAATGTCTTCGCCGGCGGACATGTGAACTAGCTCAAGCTGGACTCCATGAAACAGCTTTCCGCCACATCCGAAACGCCCATCCGGAGCCCATCCGAGGCACGTGTGTGAGGTCGCTCGGCGGTGTCCAGCTAATCACGCCCCCGATGAAGCCGAAGACGCTCGCAGTGTCCACCTCACGGAGTGCAACTGGCACACCGAGATTGCCACCGGACATTGGTGAACACCAAGTCGTGTCGCACAGAGAGAGAGAGAGAGACATATAGAGAGATATAGAGAGATATAGAGAGATAGAGAGAGATAGAGAGAGAGAGAGAGCGTCGGTGTGCAGGCCATGTTGCATTTGTTGGTCTATGATACACTCTTCGTGTGTTGGCGTGGCCGAACAAAAATGAAGTACTCTGTGCTGCGCGGTTGCTTTCTCGGCAAGAAAAATACAAATGCAAACATCAGGAGATGATCCAAAGACCACGCGAGACAAAGCTGCTGCACATGGGAACAAGAGGAACACAGCCGCGGATTTGACCCCGACAATGACAATAAAGATTTTTCCTTTGATTCGGGGCGTCGAATTGAATCGGGGCGTCGTTTCGAGGCAGTAACCGGGGTTTATTTCAAAGGCATTTCACAGGTGTAAGGACTGGTTCAAACTTCCAAAAACATGGACTGTTGGAGGGGGTAGTTTGGCACTCGCCCCAAGCCACACGCGGCCACCTTCACGTACCCGTTTTAAACCCTGGGAGTACCCATTTTAAACCTTAAGGGTACCTGAGTCAAACCCGGGATTGTTCCGGGTACTTTGCCAGCGTCCCGCCCGCCGCGCTACGCTGGCTGCTGTGCCACGCACCGCCCACGCCAGGGCCTCGGCGAGCGAAGGATGCTGAGGGTTTTTTGACAAACCTTGCCGGAGCAGTTTGAAACTTCATCTTACACGATTTTGGCTCAAATGTTGCGTCGCGCAACGTTGATGCTGCCACCCAGCGCAGACTCAAACAAACCTAGGGTTGGAAGTCGTCTCAAGCTGGTGGATGGATGGTACGAAGCCACAGAGCTCGCTTGCACGTTATCCTGGGAAAGTCTCCGGGGGAAGCTCTGCGGAAGTTTGGGGCGAAAGCGTACTCCCTTCAGGCCCAGAAAGAAGACTGCAAACGATGCTTCGCCCGACGTTTTGGGGCCAATTGGGAAGTTACTGCCTGGTATGTACGTGACACCTCAGCTCGCCGCGGACGCAAGTGGCCTGACACGCTGGCCGGAATCATCAAGAACGTTTCTGCTACAGATGGAGTGCTAGCAACTTCCTCGGTGTGCCGCATGCTGAGAAACAAGAAGGACTTGGTGCAGATTGAAGACAGCAAGGTGCCTGTCCTTATTTGCGAGAACGAAGAGCTAGACACAACGACCCCAAGAGGCAAAAACTTGTTCGGCAAGCTTGTTTTGGATGGGGAACTTGAGGCTTGGGTGCCAAAGTAAACAGCCAGAAGAGGTGTTGGTATTGTGACTGTTTTTGCTCCACTGTGTGAAAGACCCTGCTAGGCCGATTTATGCTCCATGCGAGTCAAGCGTGCCCTTCAAGTTGCCAAGTCTCGCGGCGTGGCATTGGGCACGCACAACAAGAAAGTCCGAGGTAAGGGCGCAAAGAAGCGCCACGAACAAGCCAAAACCTTCGCAGTATCAGTGCTGCCCCGCATTCAAAAACTCTGGGCCCAGGGTCTTGGAGGGAAGCGAATCACGAAGACTCTAAATGCAGACCGAAAAGCGCTCAGGCTGAATAACGACAAAACGTTTCACCTCAGCAAAGTTCAGCGCATCACAGCCCTGCTTGTCCAAATGAAAAAGCTTCCCAAGCGCAAGTAGGCACGCCCGCTGTGCCGGGCTTCCTTTTTTCCACTGGCTTAAAGCCACAGGAGTTTAAGAGACACGGAAAAAGCGGTGTTCAGTTGCCCAGACCACAAAAGCGCTGACAGCTTGTGCATCCGACGAAAAAACCGCTCCATTCTAGACTGATCTTTTGTGCTTCTTGAGAGGAGGAGCGGCTGCTGATGATGCACTGGATGGATGCGAGCTGCTCGCGTGTTGCTTCAAATGCTCCATCATTAAAGAGATCAAGAACTTGACATCCTGTAGTGGCTTTCCCTTGTTGAGCTCTCTTGCAGCAGTGTTGGCGATTTCCATGCATTGTTCAGCTGAAGCTCCTTCTTGTTCTACCTTAGTCAGGGGCATCGCAATGAACAAAGGGTAGATGTAAAACAGTGTGTGTGTGTGTGTGTGTGTGTGTTTTCTGTGGACCCCCCAAAATGGTGGGTTTTACATTTGGCCTCCCTTTGAAGCTAACCAGCAGGGTGCCCTCAAAGAAATTGCGCCGAAATGCCCGAAGCAAGACTCAGACACCTGCCGCCAAAGCGCCATAGTCCCTTCCACAATCTTGGCTGGTTGACCTGCTTGAACGGCTGCTGCCGCTCGCCCCTTCACCCGCACTGAGGCAAACCCCAAGTTGGATGCGGGAATCGGCGCTTCCTTCTTCCGCACGGAGGCTGGCTTAGCCTCGCCTTCTGAGGGAGAGAGCTGAGAAACTCTCAAAACATGGTTTTGGCGCTGCATCAACTTGAGAATCAATGGCTTCAAGCTTTTGGCTGCTCCGGCAAGCAAATCTGCACCGGGGTAAATCAGTACATGCGTCAGTGACCACTGCAAGCTGAGGCAACGTTTTTGTCCATGCTTGCAAAACTACACTCGTAATGTCAAAACTGCGCGCCCAAGTCCCCACTACTACAGTGAGCAGCACTAAACTCTGAAGCGGCCATCAAGGGATCACCTGTGCAAACGTAGTGGGCGAGACAAATCAGTAAATGCTCTTGTTAAAGCGATAGGCCGCCCGAGAGTGGACTTCCTAGCAAGCGGGTTTCAGTCCTGAGACTCATTCGGCGTGTCTTCGCAGTTGAACCCAGGGGGCGGGGAAGGTCCTTCAATCTCTGCATCCTCGCCCTCTGGCAGGTTCAGCGGCTCCTCGCACTTTTCGTCCGGGACCCCAGGCTGAGTGCGGTCCGCAACCATCTTGCTGACCTCCCCCATTTTGATGAAGCCGCACTGAACGGCATGCCCCTCAGAATCTCCAGCTTCGAGCCGGCTCAGCACCTCCAAGCACACAGTCATGTTCTCCTTCAGGCTTGCGCCGCGGATGCGCGCCTGCAAGCGGTGTTGAAGGGTCTTTTGGAAACGTGCTTGGGTGAGTGTTTTCCTTGCCCGCAAAACGAAATCTCGAAAGCTTGAATCAAACCGGGCAAAGGTGCCGTAATCAGGATCGTCAACGTAGCCTTGCAACGGACGCTGACGAAGCCTGACTTTGGATACCTCATTTCGTAGTAGTGGTGCCCGCCAGCATGCACATGTTTCAGTGGCGGAAGGTCCTGGCACGCACGCGGGTGGCTCGCGAAAGTCAGGATTTGCAGAGCCCTTCACCCAAGTCCTCGTAGATCTTGCCTTCGCCCGTGGCAGGCTTCTTGGCTTTCTTTGACTTCGCGGCTGGGCGCTTTTTTGCTGCAGGCTGGCTGGGCCCAGGATGGGGCGTGACTTCAGGCTCTGGCTGGCCAATGCTGGTCTTTCTCATACTGCCAGCAGCTGCGGCAGGCCGCTTCATGGGTGGCTTCCTGGCTTTGGCTTTGTTCTGCGACTCTCCCTCCGCAATCGGTGGCTTCGGCGCTTTGCTTGGCGTACTGGGCGCTTTCAGTGGCGGCTTGGTCTCAGCAGATTTCCTCTTTCGCCCAGCTTTGGGTTTGGGCGACGCTTTTGCTTGGGCAGGCAGAGCAGCGCCAGGTGTTTGTTGCTCTGCCTCTTCCGAGTCGCTGAGTGTGCTCACACGCTCTGCCATGGTTGGCGGCATGAGCAACTTGGCAAGGCAACTTACCGCAAATGAAACACCGAGGTCTTGGGCCGATGCATTCACTTGAAAACGCCAAAAGTGAGCCTGTTTCCAATAGTTTGTCTTTGTTTGGAGCTCCCAAGAAAAGAGAAATCCAACACATGCCGGGGCAACGATATGTAAAGGCTCCACTTTTGACATCCTCCCTTCGGGTGCACAGCACCTGGCTTGCCCAAGATCACGTCCAAACTCACACACTGGCACTTTGATGTGTTCTTGATTTGGCGGAAAGGGTTCGCACATACTTGCAACAAGAGGGACGCTTGACCTGGAACATGCCACGGATTAATCATTTTGATCACCTCGCGTTTGTCCTAGTCTGGCCCCGAAAAGTGGGGCGTCGGCCGTTGATGGTCGGCCGATGGCAAAAATCTCACCTACCGGGGCCACAGGCATGCAATCACGCTGGCCTAAACGACTTGGTAGAGCTTGTTGGCAATCAGCTTCAGGGACCCTGTCAGCCAAAACTTGGGCTTGAGAGGCTTGATGCAAGCGGGATGGTCAGTTTGAAGGCGGACTTCCCACAAGGTTGTTGCCACTGTGCCCTTGAGCATCTTGAGTTTGCCGAGCCAAGCGGAGCCAGCGCTTGCCCTCTTCAGGCTGTCTGCGGCCAGCTCATCGTCGCTGAGCCGATCGGGGGCAAAGGCCAAGGCTCGGGTGCCCGCGCGAATGGTGCAGCGGCAGAACTTCTCTTGGGAGACTCCCTGCGGGGGAGAGGGTGGGCAAGTCTATGTTCATTCACACTATAAAACTTAGCTTTGCGAAGCCCCCACCTCATTCCCGGCCATCAAGGGAACACAGACATGGTTATCCACCTTGAGGTCAGGGATATTCTTTTGAAAAGCTTCGTACACCATGTCGCAGACACGGACAATCGTCTTACACCCGTCTGTCGTGTTGACCACCGACTGGAGGTCAGATGAGATGTCGAACATGATGCTTTGGTCTTGGCCTTGGCTTCCACAAACGACAAAACAAGAAGTGGGTTCTGCAGTCCTGGGATGCTTGACAAACCAACAGTCCCCGAAGATCGTTCCCCTAAACAGTGTGTCAGCACTAAGGGGTTCTTACGGTAAGAGTCAGGGGCCGCTGCTTCATCAAGGTGCTCAATTTGGTCTGGAGCATTTTTCATTATATTTACGTACAACCGTGACTTCATAAAATCTTGCAGGTGCGTTTCGACTGCGCAGGCTTCCGCAAAGTGGTTGGCCGATATTTGGGGCGCGCTTTTGGGCTGCGCAGGCTCGCGCTAAAGTTTCCTCATGAGATGCTCATGTGCATTTCGACTGCGCAGGCTCGCACAAAGTCTGTGGACGAATTTGGTGTCTTGCGAGGGTGTGCTCTCTCTGCGGCTCCGTGCGGATTTCGAAAACGGCAGATTGGCGAACCTTCTGCGCATAGCTGGGCTGCGCTAAGCAGAGCAACCCTTTTTTTTAAGCACCCCTTTCGCTGACTCTTTTGGCAAAAAAACGCAACTCAGGACACTTGATGCAATAGATCTTGGAGGTCAGTTAGCCTGTTTTCGGAAATTGGGGTCGTTGATACTTCCTTAGTGGGTGCTTTTGGGGTCGAATTCCTTGCCGCGGCCAAGTTGCCACGGAGTGTTTCTGTGTCATCCACTAGTAAGCTGCCGGTGTGAAAGCCAAAGATCTCACCAGGGCCAAACTGCCACTCGTCTCCTCCGTGGGTGGACGGTTCCATGAAAATGTAGGCGGACAAGTCTTTCATCACAAGGGTTCCAGGATGCGAGTGGGTGGGGCGGATGGTGTAGAGCCTGGGCAAAGCACGGCTTGTCTACAGTACGAAGCGACCCTTTGCTCCATTACCAATAACTCTGGTCTATTCCTGGGACTGATTTGGGTTAATGTGGAACCTTCGGCAGCTTGCAATTGAGTTTCTCATTCTTTCTTTAAGAGAAAGGGCTCTTCACACTTCGAGTTTCAGAGAGCTCCAGTCAGCCCAAACGAATGCCTCCAGGAACGGGAATTGATTTGGATATGACTCCACAAACGACCTGACGGTGGTTCAAAAAAAGCCGAGGTGGTTTTGTTTTGACCCACACCAAAATAGGGGACGGTGTTTTGGATCTTGCAGCCTGGGTGCACATCAGCTGTGTTAATGCTACTTTGGTCCACAGCTTCGATATCAAGCGCAGCCTTCAACGATGTCACGCTCTCCCCGGAAAGGTCTGGGCCTGGAAGATCAACAGGCCCACTAGGAGGTCCGGAAGGAGTCTTGGTGCCAGTTTCCTGGGAATTCATATCGTTCAGCTTTCGCATGATGCCCTCCGTGGACACGCAGGCTGCGTCCCATTGGGCGAAAAATTCGCTCTCCTCCTCAAACTTGTTTCGCGCCATGGATGGGAGTTGCACGCGGCATTGGTCGCCCGACCAGGCCAACAAGCGAAGCTCGGGCTTTTCGACGGCCTCTTCTGCTGTGTGCCCTGGCTCAGACGGGCCCGCTTCCACTTGGGAGTTCCACCATTCATCCAGCAACATGCCTTGGACGCGGGCCTTCATGCCAGCATGCTGTGATGCGCAGTCTGAAGTGTAGGCACTCATGTACACCACGCAAGGGCTCTCTTCCCCTTGCAGCCACGCAGCGTGCAGGCCCCAAGAAGCTGCCATCCAGTCTCCAAACGTGGGACACGCATCCACAACTACCACCCTCCTGCTTCTGCATGAATCCGAGGTGGCTCGGCCAAGGAGGACAGCCTCAAGCACCTGCCTGCAGGCGCGGGGCCCCAGTTGGGCAGCTCGCTCAGCAGGGCTCAAGTGCTCCTTTGTCTTGGTCAAGTCAGCTTGAGGGATCAACTGCATATCCTTGACCGGAATCAGCGGCACATTGTTGATGCAGCGGTGCTGGGTGAACGCCTTGCAGGACAGCCATGGAGATGTTTCCTGAAAGGCTGACGACACACACAGGCGAATCATGAACGTGCCCTCTCTCTTGTCATTGCCGTGGGTGTTTGACAAATCAAACGTTGCACTGATGGAGCCCTCAATGTCCAGCCCCGCCGAGAGCAGCTTGTCCTCTATTTTGCGGCAGAAGTTGAGCCAGGTAGCCATGCTTTGCGATGTGTACTTGATGGGGTACCTCACGAGGATGGCGTTGTTTGGCGACTGGTGGGCAATGTTCTCAGCTGCCTGCACGCATTTGATCATATCCGTGAGGTTCGGGGAGAGGCCAAAGTCGAGGACGACCAGGGTCTCCCTAGCCGGGCTGCTCAGTGTGAAGGGTTTCAAGGCATTACACTACGTAGAAACCTTGAAACGCATGCCACGCGCACCAACTTAGCCCACTGCGTTGCGTCAGCCGCGATCGTTGGCATGTCCTGCAGAGCGGTCACCTTGAAGAGGTTGTACAGCCTGGGCAAGTCCACTAAGCCATTCTCCTGAATCAGCTTGATGTCCAACCTGGAGCGCATGAGGTGCGTGATGCGCTCCACGCCCTTGTTCCTCCGCGCGCGCTTGTACGCCTGAACCGCCTGGCCCCAGTTTGACCTCGCAAGCTGCAGCTTGGTCGCGAAGGTGGACACTTTGTCCTTGTCGTGCTTCAGGTCTTCCATCAACGAAAGAAAGGTTGCAGACTCCAGCTGCTTCTTCAGCTCCTGCCGCTTGTTTGCAGCAGCGATGACAAACTGGGACTCTTGCCGTTCAAGCACGGCCTTGAACTCGGGGATAGTCGAGCAGTCTAGCACAGGCTGCGCGTCTGCTTGCTGCTTCAAAGCATCATCCATCCCCCCAAGCATGAAAGCCTCCATCAACTTCGCCTTCTCAGCAGCGAAGGCCTCCGCAGGGAGCTGGGACTGCAAGTCCTCCAGGTGCAACTGAAAGGTCCTGACCACCTTCTGCGTGTGGAGCACAGTTGCGTCCTCTGCGGTTTTCCGCAAACCGCTTGGGAGATTCTGCCATGCTTTCAGGATGCGGTCGATGATGAGGTCCACAGTTTCTGTTGTGTTGCCCATGCGCTCCTGCCACCACGGAGACTCGCACTGAGGTTTCCAGCCAGTTCTCATGCCCTTGGACCCAATGGCAGCGTGGCTGAAAGGGCCCCTAGCCATCCCGTAAGTGGAGCCGATCTTGGCCAGGTGGACGCGCTGCGCTGGGGTCATGTGCACGAGGAGGTTGCAAGTTGCGCTGCGCTCAGCGGGGCTCAGCTGAAAGCCTACCACGCCCTTCTGGAAGCTCTCCATGAGGCTCATCGCATCCGCACCATGGATCTTGGCCTTGCGCTCGATCTGGTGGAAGTGAATGAAGCAGTTTGGCTTTGCCCGCGTCAGTGCGCTAGACATTGTAATGTCTGCGGGGGCACGGGTGCGAGAGCAAGCATATGACTAGGTGACTTTCCAAATATATCCTTTGTGTCTAAGCTAAGGGCCGACTTGCATACATCGAAACACACCCTGAAATCAGTGGCTACGCATGGGTCATACAATTGGATTCCGGTGCACAGTTCCCAAGTGCGCAAAAAAGAGGCCCACAGGCCCTTAGACTTTGGGTAGCAAGCAATGAAAGAACGGCCCCATGCCTCGGTTGACATCGACAATGTCATCCCCCGACTGGCGCAAGTGGTGAATCGCGTGCAAGGTGCTGAACCCGCTGACGCGAGGGCCGAGGAACTGTAGATATTGATCGAGGATGCCAGTCTCCATCGCCAGCTTGATAGTCATATGCATGGCCACTCCTCGTGTCCAGCCCTTGACGCATGACACGGAGAAGCCAGGCAAAACTTCAGTCTCGATGGCAGGCAGGAACACGTCCACACCCCGATCGTTCTCACTGAAGAGCGCCAGGCTGTGCTCCTGAACAACTGGCATCTCGGTCCCGGGGATCTTGGCATCGGTCACAAACCCTTTCGCCAGGATCAGCTGGAGGAGGTTGCGGAAGTGGTCCATGCTGACCCACCCCTTGTTTCCAGCTTGCCGGTGCCAGGAAGGCTGAAAGGGGCGCAGAAAGACTTCGCCGCCTGATGAGGCCGCCCACTCGCTCAAGTACTGGACGCCATCTTCGGGCGGGAAGAGCTGTGACAGGCTCTTCCCCCATTCAAGCTGGCTCTCTTTGGTCGGGAAAAAGTTGTCCAAGATAGCCACCACGTCCTGGTGTTCCTTCCATTCAGCATCGAATCGTTCAAGCACCTTGCTCAGCCAAGGGTGCATCACGAAGGCCGAGCACACGTCGGGCCGGCTGGCCTCCCCGCCCAGCGGGCTCACCGTGTCCAGCGAAGCGGCCTGCCTCTTGGCAGGCTGCGCGCGGCTGGCGCCACCAGTGGAAACACGCTTTCGCGGGCCCATGTTGCGGTGAGAGAGGTAGCTGGCTTTACATGAGCCAGCGTGCTTCTGATGGGTTGCCACAGTTGTCCCTCACAATTTCTGACTTCTCCACAGCAACGCTTTTCTGATGAACCTCAGTGAGCCTCATCGGAAACCCATGCGGCAATCCCTGACCCCTCCTAGGCTCTGATCTCCCATGGTACCCGCGGGCCTCCTGATTGGGCGTGCCCGGATCCGATGAACCTCAGTGAAGTTCATCGGAAACTGTGTTGCGGCGTACCGTTACAAATTTCGAAGTATAACAGGTCCGCCCCGTTTTCAACCCTAAGTCTGTATATCCGAGATGGGTATGTGTCAAAACCGGAAAGCCCCCCTAAGCGGTTGTGTCCTGGACAGTTGATCCCAAGTTATTTCCGTTCCAGATTTCCAGATGAACCTCATCCAGGTTCATCAGAAAACGTATCGCGGCGAACGGTCACAAATTTTGACGTGTAACAAGTTCGCCCCGCACTCAACCCTAAGTCTATCAGAAATGGGTGTGGGCAATTTAGCTCACACATGCTTGGCCATTGCGTTTCTGGTGACTCTGGGTGGGTCAGTCACTGATCTAAAATTATGCCCGTTCGTGATGAGCCTCAGGACCTTTCCAAGCTCCTTTACACAGTATTGAAGATGTGCAAAGATCCGTTTGGACCGGGTTATCATTCTCTTGCTTTTTACCTTGACGGTTTTGCAGCTGCTTTATCAACACAAGCCACGCTCGATCAAGGCCGGCGCTACTCCCTGGCCAACGTCCAGGAGCGCCCAAGCCTCAGGCCGCCGGGCCAGACCCCATGTGATAGTCCAATAACAAACTTCTTTGATGGCGGCTGATTTTGCAGCGGCTAACAAAGGAACGTGGCTTCTAAGAAAGCACTAGCAAAACCACTTCTAAGCGTATCCCCTTTGCTATATTTGAAAGAGTGAGTGTCCCGTGCACAATGTGGGACTTCGGCTTGTTGCCTGGTTACAAAAGTCGACACTTGTGCCAAAAAGGACTTTTCGAGTTGGGGGCTCTCCAAGATATTTGATGGGCTTTGTCTACGCGAAGGGAAGAAGGTCCATCCAATTTTACACACATGCAGCTTGAATGCTTGAATGTCAACTTTTTAACCCGGAAGCTCGTTCAGGGTTGCTGAAACGCCCGTAGAATCAGTGGAGCGGGCAGACAAATCTGCCTGTGGGAATCTGCGCTAACACCAAGCCTACATATGACTGGTCAATGAACAACCCCAAGCAAAGCAAAACAGGTGAAGCCTTGACTACAGTGTCATCTTGAAAGTCCCGCGAATTGGCCAACGGCAAAGGAAAAACTGACTGGCTGAGGTCTTGATGTTGGTCTGATTTTGCGGGTCCCCTGCAACAACCCCCACGGCAAAACCTGAGTGGTTGAAGGGCGACTCCACACTTATAACTAACAGAAGTGGAAAGACCCTTTCTTTGTTTGTCAGGTTGTTGCCCCCGACTCAGCTTGAAAATAACACGCTTTTGGAAGCCCTCCCCTTGGCGGAACCTGGCGCAGGACCAGTCAGTTGAATCTTTGCTTCTGTCAGTTTCGGACAAAAAAGGGATCTAGGAATGGAAGAAGGGATCCAAGTAATCTTGAGGGTCCAGGCCTTTTGCAACTGATGTCCGCGCGAAAAGTTGCCCTGCTTTTGAGAACCAATGAGCGAGAGCCCATTTGCAAACCATTTGGCTGAAGAACCCTTGCCCAAGGTACCCGGCTGAACTCTAGAGTTCCGCAGGCAGCCTCAACGGGCAACGGGAACATCCAACGCTGAAGTTCCTAGGCTCAAGAAGCCAACAGCTTTCTGTTTGTGATTCGAGGCACGCCGAGGGTGGCCCGAAAGCACAACATAGAGCGAGCGCGGCGTATGATGTCGAATGCGGTCTTTGGTTTCATGCATGATCCGGAGCCTTGATGGACCTGCAGAACAAACTTTCATTTTAGTCTCATGCGTGTGCTTTGCAAGTGTGCTCGCGCGAGTTGCTAGTCGGCAAGTGCTCTGCGCAAGTTGCTCAGTGCAAGTTGCTGTGCGTAAGTTGCTCTGCGCAGGTTCTCTGCTCAAGTTGCTCGTGCAATTTGCTGCATGTCCTCTTGCGCATCTTGGCCTGCGTGTCCTGTCGTGCATCTTGCTCTGCGTGTGCTCTCGTACGTGTTCTGTCGTGCCAGTTGGCTATTACCGGAAGACTGAAAGACCTGACTCATGTCCCTTTTTCGTTGAAAATCCCGCGCAGCCACCAGACCAGGCCTGGCTCTGACCGGGATGGAGTTGACGCACTTCCAGCTTGAGTGGGAGCCCAAGGCGCATTGCGGGAGGAAGGAAGTGGGTTTTGTGTGGGTAGAGTGGGCATTGCTTTGAAAGGAACACCGAGGCAGGAAACATTGGACCGCTTTTGAGGCTCCAGCCGCTGACACTTTATGCCGTAATTAAACTTAATTAGGTCTGTGGCAAAACAACCTGAAGAAACAAGCTGCACGCGGCGCTCGTCAAGCGGGAGTAGCAGCTACAACCAAACAAGTTGAGTTCCAGGCACGCTTGTCGGGAACGACGGCTTGAGGGATAGGTCGGACCTGGGCAGAGCAAGGTCGCTCTCTCTCTCTCTCTCTCTCTCTCTCTCTCTCGCTCTCTCTCTCTCTCTCTTCTCTCTCTCTCTCTCTCTCTCTCTCTCTCTCTCTCTCTCTCTCTCTCTCTCTCTCTCACCCGTCTCACAAAGTTCACAGATGAGCGCACACAAACACACACTCACCGCGCAACACGTACACACACACACGGACGCAACACGCAACACGCAACACGCACACCGAACACGCAACACGCAACACCCAACACGCAACACGCAACACTCAACACGCAACACGCAACAAACAACACGCAACACGCAACACGCAACACGCAAGACGCAAGACGCAAGACGCAACATGAACCCGCAATCTGCAACCCGCAGCCCGCAACACGCAACACGCAAGACGCAAGACGCAACATGAACCCGCAATCTGCAACCCACAACCCGCAACCCGCAACCCGCAACCCGCAACCCGCAACACGCAACGCGCAACACGCAAAACGCACAACGCAAGACGCAACATGAACCCGCAATCTGCAACCCGTAGCCCGCAACACGCAACACGCAGCCCGCAACGCGCAACACGCAACACGCAACACGCAACACGCAACACGCAACACACAACACGCAACACGCAGCCCGCAACGCGCAACACGCAACTCGCAACACGCAACACGCGACACACAACACGCAACACGCAGCACGCAACACTCACACACACACACACACACCCGCACAAGCACGCGCGCAAGCACACGTGCCAAAGCAAACCTCTCGTTTTCTCAACTTGCCAGCTCGCGATCCGGCAATACTAGGGTTGGGTTGTCATCAACCGCCTCTTCCGGAGCGACGGCGGCATCAGCTTGCCGCATCGCCTTCTTGTAGCGCGCTGGGCATTTCGCCCAGCAACGCTCGCTGAACGCTATAGCGTCTGGCCAGCTGAATTGGTGATGTTGCACAAGCTCTGCAGCCATGGAATAAACAAATCCCCCTTGAGGGGTTGTTTCGGTGTTAGGCTGAGACTTTGCCCCTGTGGAGGCAGCAGCGATCAAGACTGTGCCAAGTGCCGGCTCCAGCCCCAAAGCTCTATGCCCAGCCTGGCTGTCGAACCCTTCAAGCTCTTGGATGTTGAGATTCTGTCGGGCAAGCGGCTCAGCAATGCAGGCGGTGATGTAGGAGATATCCAAAAGCGGAAACCGTGGATGCGTTCCGTCCACCCACGCACGCAGCTCGTTGGCCCCTGCATGCATGCGCCAAGGAGGCTGCTCCACCATGCTTGCAAGCTTATGGATATTCTTCTTGTATGCCTCCGTCTTTGGGCGCCGGGGGAAAAGAGTTGAAGGCCCAGCGCGGGGCAGGCGGCACGCATGCTCCGGGCCGCAAAACTTCATACAAATGGGCGTTGCCTTGTCGCTCATGAACTGCCGGCACCTAGCAGGGACAGCGGGCCTTTTCAGTTCCTTCGCCCACTCAGAAATTCAAGTGGCCGAGGGCGCCTTTTGACGATTTGCGTGCAACAAACGGATGAAAAGTGGGCCCTTGAAGTCAATGCGTTGCAACAGGACCCTACCTTAAGAAACCAATCTGGTGGCTACAGTTTGGGGCGCAGCTCCCTGCCTCAAAATGATGTCCTTGGGGTGGCCAGAGTTCTTCATTGAGTGGTTGGAGGGTAGATCGGCCCGTGCTTCGAAACGAAAAACGTGAGGAGCTTTCGGGCCGCCGTGGCCACGCAAACATATCCCAAGCCTATTGAAATATGATTTCCAATCACGCATCTCGTCAAGCACGCAAACTAGCCGTGTTGGTTCGTGCGGCCGCTGGAGTTGCTTCAAGAAATCTTGGAGAGCCACCTGAAAGTCTTGGATGGTCTGCGCTTGCTGCAGATTATTCCGCACGAACGCAGCCAGCTGCCTCTGCTGCCCGATCAAGTAACATTTCGCCCTTTCCCTCGTTTGGGGGGGGGGGGCAATAAATCTGGCCAAGCAGTCACCGAAAAAAACGATACCCTCCGCCAGAACATTGAAGTCGTTGGCCTTGGGAGTTTGTTTTGGGTTGGGAAACTGGCACTCAGCATTGCTATCGCTACTTTTTACCCAAGCAGTGCGTTAATAGTAGGGGGTTCTTACGGCAAAAGTAAAGGGCCGATGTTAGCATTTCTGATGGCATTTACGTACAACTGTGACCTTTTTAACATCTTGAAGTGCGTTTCGACCGCGCAGGCTCACGCAACGTGGTTGGCCGAGATCCTTCAAGAGATCTTGCGCATCGACACTGTAAAAGCCAAAGGTACTTCGAGCTGGTCCTTTCAGAGATCCTCCCAACAGGTCTTGCGCAGGACTTGCAAAGAGTTCCTGTCAAGAGGTCTTGTAGAGGGCGCGCTCCCTACTCGCTGAGGGTCCTCTAAGGGGCCCTGC